ACGAAAGGACCTTGCATGATGGTCAGGCAGCCGCCTCTCATGCTCAAGTCAGGACCAGTGCTGCACGAAGGACCCCGCACCGGTGGTGCATCTGAGATATCTACAAGAGGTTCTAGCTCTAGGACTAAGAGCAGACCTACCCTGCACGAGCGTCAACGAACCTGCGCGAAGGAAGGGACATTCATCCGACCAAAATAGATCTTCATCTGATGATGAATCTAATGAAGAGCCTTTGCGCAGGCTACCTACATCACAGAGAGGCTCAGACCTTGATCTTCGTTGTGAGCCTATACGAAGGAACTCTTCAGCATGGAGGAAGAAATCTTCGTCTGCGCAAAGACAGAGGAACACGTGTTGAAGTTCAAGAGGGGTACTCTTGTCCGAATTCATCACCTGCGCGCAGATCTTCAGACTGAATCCAGGACGGGATTCACATTGTTAGAATTTTTAGATAGATATATCTACATCAGAAGATAATAACGGGACTCATGTCCATATAGAGATCTTCAGTTGCGTACAGATCTTCAGGTATTAACATTGGCGTGGTTCAGCACAGCCTTGTTAAGGCTATGAAGTTACAAAGTCAACATATTCCCAACGTCCAAGCTTGGGAATTCCCGCTACTTTACATGGGACCCTGCATAAAGGCTCCAGAGATTGATGTAAACTACAAAATCATCAACGACTCCCTTTGTAGAACTTACAACAAAGTTGAGCATCAACTCTACAAGGACCTGTGTGTTTCAACACAAAGAGGGTAATTTACGACGCTTCATTGAGATCGATGAATGCAGTCTACAAATGGCAGCGCTGAGGAGGTGTGGACTTCAGCTGATCATCTGTATAAAAGGACGACTGCATTATCTTCAGGACTGAAGTAACAGTCACAGCAGCCAGGAAAACAGCCTACCTACATCGGTATTACGCGGCAAAATCTTTCGCGCGTTTACCATTCAACCCTCTATACACGTGGTCACTCGTATAACTCCGGAAGGCTACGGACAAGACCCAGTGTTGATAAGATATCAACGACTGCACAAGATTCTACAAGGACCTTTTTTTCTGCTACACCGGTGACGTCACATCGCGGGAAGCTAAAGGAATCAAAATGCTTCATTTTGATTGGTCCATGAGAGACAACGCCCTGCGCAGAAGTCGGATGTAGTTCACATGTCAGGGAATTGTTTACAAGTGACAACAACCTTTCAACGTGGGAGGAAGGCCTCAATTACAGTCCAGTTAGACGGGAACTACGTGATTGGACTGTCTTCAAGGGGTTAGAGACCTTCCCTGTCAGCATTGAAGACGGTTCATCAGGCAAATTGCAGCAACATACATTTGACGGACTTTTGGTTACGGCAGCCAGTCTACTTTATATAGACTTCACAACGATGGCAGTCACAGAGTCGGACATTGCTTCGTTTCCCTTACGGACATGGCAAGGGTTTCACGATCGTTGGATCTAGATACAAGCCATTGTATCTCAAGCACTACTCTCTCCGTTATTACTACGAAGTTGGCAGAGCCTACTCAGTCCTCAAGTCGGAACTAGAGCCTACACAGGACCTGCAGTTCCTAGCAATTCGGCTCATCACAACAGAAAAGCGCATAACAGTACCAGAGGACCATTGGCTAAAGATACAACAGATGGTATCGTAAGCTCTACTCTCTCCATGGCCACTCCGACAGTGGCAGAGTCTGTTGGGTCTCCTCACGTCAGCACAGGATATGATGCGCAGAGGGAGACTACAACTATACCCATCACAGGTCCTCGTAATTGCACATCTGGACGATCCGGACCCCTTCGGACTCCCGGACAGACTAAAACCATATCTACTATGGTTGACTCAGAGATCGAATGTTTGCGGAGACACCTACTTAGCAGAGCCGGAGTGCAAAACGCATCTCTATGTGGACGCATCTCTCCAAGGATGGGGAGCACACCTCGACAACGAAGTGTCAGCTGGGAAATGGACGTTACAGGAGAAAGATCTGCATATCAACATGCTAGAAATGAAAGCAGTGATAAACGCCATACTTCACTGGACCAGCATTCTAAAAAATGGTCATCTGACGGTACACACGGACAACTCCATAGTGGCGTTCTACATAAACAAACAAGGATCAACTAGGTCGGCGAACCTTCTGAACCTTTGCTTTCATCTGTTCAGCATAACAGACAATCTGAACATCCACATAAAAGCATGCCACATTCCAGGAGCCAAGAATGTGATAGCAGACACACTATCTCGTCCAACTCAGCCATCCCCAACAGAATGGATGCTACATCCAGAAATCTTCAAACAGATCATACAAGAGATAGGAGCGCCACTAATAGACTTGTTTGCCACAAGATTCAACAATCAACTGGTAACATTCGTCTCTCCAATACCAGATCCACGAGCATGGGCAACAGATACTCTAAGCATCTCTTGGGAAGGACTAAACGCTTACGCGTTCCCCGCCACCAGCTCTAATACCGGAAGTGTTGCAGAAAATCATGCAGACGAGGAACCTGCAACTGATTTTGATCGCGCCTTACTGGCCAGCGAGAATATGGTTCCCCATTCTCATACAAGAACTAGGACCGCCTCAACTGCAACTACCAGAGTGGACGAACTTACTAGTACATCCACACACAAAGTAAGCACACGGCAACCCCAAAGTGTTCCGCTTACACGCATGGACCGTATCAAGGCGTGCTTGAATAAGAGAGGATATTCCGCCAGGGCAGCTAAAGCGGTCACACTAGCTTTACGAAATCAACACGCAACTTGTATGACGACAAGTGGCGAAGCTTTGAGACCTACGCTTTGAAAACAGGCTTCACAGCCATGAAAGCGACACACCCTCAAGTGGCGGACTATCTTTGTCACCTAAGACAAACGAAGTGGTTAAAAGGGTCAACACTCTCAACATACCTAGCGGCATTGAGCTCAGTTATCACTATGAGGACGAGTGTAAAACTGACAAAGGTACCAGAGTTACTGGCCTTACTACGCTCTTTTAAACTGGAGGACCAACAACAGAGATTTAAAGCTCCGGCTTGGGACCTCAATATAGTTCTACGGCATCTCACCAGTGACGCTTATGAACCATTAGATAGGACATCTTTTGAGTTCTTGACAGCCTTAGCAACAGCAGCAAGGATGTCGGAAATACATGCTCTAGACTTTGAAAGGACATGATTTGATGAAAATCGAAACATCGTACATATGGGACTGAGATGGGACTTTATAGCAAAGAATCAACTGCCAGGTCAACCGGACAGACAATTCCACATCCCAGCATTATCATCAGTCCTTGGGCCACAGGATACACAGGACCTATCCTTATGCCCAGTAAGAGCATTAAAAGTCTACCTACAAAGGTCTAGGACCAGGAGACGAAAATTCAAGCGTCTTTTCATCCTTATATCGGCAGAGACACAGACAGAGATCTCTCGCACTACGATATCAATATGGATGAGAACTGTCATTCTACAGGCCTACAAAGCAGCAGGACTTGATCCTCCACGAGCCTCCAATCCACATGAAATTAGAGCTCTGGCGTCAACACTCGCTCTACATGGGAATTGCTCTATCACAAGGATGATGGAGGGCTGCTTCTGGAAATCGGACATGGTGTTTGCCAACCACTACCTGAGAGACATCACCACTGAAGACGTCTCCGGCATTCACCATTTCGGCCCCCTTGTTGTAGCACAACAACTGACAGTTCCACAGAGGCGCTGAGACAGAGTCTCGCCCTTTTATCACATGACTTGCAAAAGCCAACACTCAGGAGAGTTACAGCTTTAGAGTCCATATGCACGTCTAAGACAGACTAGCATGAGTGATAAGACCCAGTACTTGTGGGGGCGACGCATTACATAATAAGGGTCGCTTCTCCAGTTGATGCATGCATCAAGAGATGGAGTTGTTAAAATCCACATATAATGTTAACAGAAGCAAGGACCAAAAGTTGACAATTGTGGTCCCCCCATCAGAGAAAGCTGGAAGTAAGGTTTACAGCAGCAGCAGAGCCTAGCAGTAAATTGAAGTGCTACCAGGAAGTTCCCATAGGGGGCTATGCAAGACGTAAATCACCAAATTGGAATCCAGAAGTGGCTTGACCCACCACCAAATCCACAGGATTCTACAAGCAATAATACATGAGACAGGATAAGGAAAAATATGTAATTGGTAATGAGGTAAGCCCTCCCAACCTCCCCGCTAGGCACTTTGGATTTCCCAGCAAATCTAAGTGTCGGGCTTGCAATTCGGAGAGAGTGAAGAGTGGGAAGACGGGTGGTGCCATTTTCCCGCCAAAACGGAGAGGGAGACAACTCGTGGTGAGTAGTGATTTTACGTCTGCTTTTTTGAAGGGAGCTTCAAAAAGGAGATACAAGTGTTCCACTAACGTTCGGGGAAGGAAGGAGACAAGCAATAATACATGAGTCAGGATAAGTATACAATATCAATTTTACTCAGAAAATTATATTTTTGTTTCCATGGCAACAAGTTTGACTTCGACTGACATTGGTGGTAGTGCTCTTTTCCGGAGCAGAGCTTTAAAACCTTTCAATACTCTCCTTCCCCTTTGCCATATACACACCAAAACATTTGACATAATCATAACTAGTAGACATATTCATAGGAGTATTTTGCCATTGAAGGGGATATTGATGACTTTGTCTTCTTGTTCCACTTACTACGTTTTCTACACCATCTAAAACTATACGACCCACAGACCTGTATCTTTGTAAGAGTGATCCCAACTATGGCATCCCTAAACATTGTAAACATAATCGAACTTAAAGCATGGCTGCCATTATATCTTCATAGCACAGATGAGCTACTTATCTATGAATCCAGTAATTCGTATTTGGAAAATTCTTTGATTGAAATGTTTCAAGCCTACTTGTAGCTCTGCCATCGAAGAACACCAACAACCATACACCATCCTACATTATTGAAACAAAATGACAACAGCATGCTAACTAGGTGTTGTATTTTCAGCCTGACTGAGGTGGACGTGGTGGACAATCTGCTCCTACTGAGGAACCTGGACATCAGCAACAACCAACTATTGGGTCAGTTGTCATCAGAGATCTTTTGCACGGTTTCATCAGACTTTGTTTCCGAATGATCTTGATGCTATTGGTCTGTGGGGTAGCCTAGTGGTTACAGCATTTGCTTGTCACGTTGAAGACCTGGGTTCGATTCCCCACATGAGTACAATGTGTGAAGCCCATTTCTGGTGTGCCTTGCTGTGATATTGCTGGAATATTGCTAATATTCTACTTAAAGGAGTTAAAAAATGCCAAATATTCAATGTCACTCAACCTGTCATTACTTTACAGATTAACTATGGTCATAATTCAAAATTTGGTGTTTTTACTGCTTTTGAATAGTACATATAATGAAGCATCAGATTTGTTAAGAAACAAATAAATGGTTAGCTGTCACTCTATGAACTGGTCTAATAACTTTCCTGTTAATCTTTCATAGTTCTCCAAAAGTTGGAATTTGCCATTTCTAGGGGGCAAATAGATCCCTTAATATATAGACTACTACATTGTCCTCTGAAATTTTATTGAAATGAAATACGGCAGCAGTAGACACAGTAGTATAGATGTGTCCCTGTTTCCTTCAGATCTGGAGGGACTGTGTTCAGCTTTCAGTTATCTCCCTTATCTGGAGGGCATCAGTGTTCAGGACAACCCTGCCACCGATGGAGTCACATACCAGTGAGTGTTTGTTAAATCCAGTCAGTCAGTAAAAACGAATGCAGTCTTTCAATAAGGGTAATTTCTAAAGCACACCTAAGTATATTTTATGGAATTTACAGTTATTAATTTGTTTTGATCTATATTTTCCTTCCATTTGCCATTATGTTATGTGTGAAGGTTGGTCAAGATAGTTAAGTGGGAAAAAGGGAATGGTTTACATTGGTTAAATGTGTAGGATGTTTCATAGTTTTCCATGTATGTCTTTTTGTAAGAGAAGCGCTCAATATTTGCTTGGCCAGGTACACCCATACCATGGATACTGTGTGTCTGATTAGTTGTTGATATAAGAATTAAACAGCCAGTTGTATTTTGCTTATTCATCAATAATATCAGACCATTCAAATAAATACACTCTTTATTGAATTTTATGCTGGTATCTAGTGTTCACCAACATATATCCTTTTGGGGGAATTTCCACTTTTCAGTGAAAAGTTTACAAAGGTTTTTCCCAGACTGAAGACCCTAGATGGTACAACAGTAACCTCTCGTAGTGGTACGACTGTCCTTCAACCTAACACTGACTTTGAGGCCATGTGTATGACACAGTGTCAGTACCACACCAGTGTCAGGAATAGCTTCCTACTGGAGCTACAGTAAGTCCATTTCTACAGTAAGGCAATTATTTCTCACAGTAGGTCATTTATTCCAACAACCCAAATTTGATTATTTACAGACCGCTGCCATATAGTTGGAATATTGCTGAGTGCGGTGTTAAACAACAAACCAACCAACCATTTATTCCAACAGTATGCTACTAATTGATACAGTAAGGCAGTTCTTGCTGCAGTAGAGCACTATTTTCTAAAGTAAGGCAGTTTTTGCTGCAGTAGTAAATAGTATAGTAAATCATTTGTTGGGTTAGTAAAGGATGATTTTGTTATAGTTGGTCACTTATTCTACAGTAAGGCACCAATTGATGCACTTATGTAATATTTGACTTGTTTTTAGGACTGTTGAATCCAAGTCTCAAGTCGATGATCTGGTATTATGTGATGTGTATTTCCGCTACTGTGACAAGTCGTTCAAAATGGCAGTAGAACACCGTTATGCACACGAATATGGTGAGGTGTCTGTGACAATACCCACTGCCCCAACTACACCCAAGTCTGGTCGACCACAATCTGCCAGAACTAAAGTCCTTCAAAAAGACGCAGATTCTTATCTCAGCCCAAAAGAAATGTTTGAAAAGGCTTTGAACTGCAGCAACAAGAAGGATGAGCAGACCAAACAAGATGTTGTCCATGTATATGATAACCCCAGAGACTTGTTTGAGAAAGCTTTGGAGGCCAGAACAGTGACTGGCGATGGCGGTGCTGCTGCTGCTGCTGCTGCTGCTAAAGTTCATGGAGGATGTGATGATGCTAAGAAATTGTTTGAAAGCAGTCTCAGAACTGAGACATCCCAGGGGATGGGCAACGGAAAGGAACTTTTTGAAAAGTCTTTAGAGAATCAGACAACAGATCAGAGGTGAGATGGATAGGTAGTATATGAAAGGCATTGGGGGTTTGTTTAGCCATGCGTGTGTTGTCTTCATCATCTTCATCATTAGCCAAACCATCTTTACAGGAACTTCACTGTTAATGATAGCACAAGGTCCACAGGGTTGCACACCTGTTACAAGCATACAAGGTCCACATGATTGCATGCCTGTTACAATAATACAAGGCCCACATGATTGCACACCTGTTACAAGCATACAAGGTCCACATGATTGCACACCTGTTACAAGTATACACGGTCGACATGATTGCATACCTGTTACAAGCATACAAGGTCCACATGACTGCACACCTGTTACAAGGTCCACAGGGTTTCACACCTGTTACAAGCACACAAGGTCCACATGATTGCACACCTGTTACAAGCATGCAAAGTCCAGAGTGTTTCACACCTGTTACAAGCATACAAAGTCCAAAGTGTTTCACACATGTTACAAGCATACAAGGTCCACAGGGTTTCACACCTGTTACAAGTATACACGGTCCACATGATTGCATACCTGTTACAAGCATACAAGGTCCACATGACTGCACACCTGTTACAAGGTACACAGGGTTTCACACCTGTTACAAGCACACAAGGTCCACATGATTGCACACCTGTTACAAGCATGCAAAGTCCAGAGTGTTTCACACCTGTTACAAGCATACAAAGTCCAAAGTGTTTCACACATGTTACAAGCATACAAGGTCCACAGGGTTTCACACCTGTTATAAGCATACAAGGTCCACATGACTGCACACCTGTTACAAGGACCACATGGTTGCACACCTGTTACAGGCATACAAGGTCCACCGGGTTTCACACCTGTTACAATCATACAAGGTCCACAGGGTTTCACACCTGTTATAAGCATACAAGGTCCACAGGGTTTCACACCTGTTACAAGGTCCACAGGGTTGTACACCTGTTACAAGCATACAAGGTCCACAGGGTTGCACACCTGTTACAATTGTACATATTCAAGGTCCACGTGGTTGCACACCTGTTACAAGCATACAAGGTCCAGTGTTGCACACCTGTTACAATCATAAAAGCTCCACAGGGTTGCACACCTGCTAAAATATAACAAACCTGCGAAATTAGTTGTTGCTTGTATTAAAGCCAATTTAACAAGGCATTCGCCGCAGACACACATGCCATAATATTATACATAAATAGCTATGCTGACTGAAGAGTTCTACTTAGGGAGTTATATTGTCTTTGCTTTAGAACTGGTCTACAGAGCACAGCTTGGCCTGCTGATGCTGCTGAAAGTGACCTGAACCTTCGAGCCTCACTTCAGAATCTGCCTGCAGACGAATTGGCCATTTTGGAGGAGCTGCATTCAGCGGCTACCAAAATACAGGTGAACTACAACGTGGAAAATCTACAGCCAGTGTTCTGTTCAATGTAGTGATCTTAGCACTAAGATAGTCATAACTTGTAACCATTCTTTAGCACTGGTATAGGGATGCCTTTAAAATAACTTTGTGGACTTGAACCCTGGGAGTTGATTGCCTAATAGGATAGGACTGCTTTGCTAAGTTGTCTTAGTGCTAAGACTATTGTTAGTATGTTAAAGTATGGGAGTTAAAATAGTCATTGTGATCACTTTTTTAGTTGGTACCATCCCATGCTTTAACTCTAACTTACAGAATAAGATCATTGTGGGATTGAGATTTGTTTTGATCTTGGGAGCTTTGTTGAAAAGCAATTTAAGCATTAAGCATCATATTCTCAGACTCACTTATGATGGTCCAAATCCTGAAACCTGTAGAATGGAGTCCTGTTCCTTGCAGCAACGTTTATAACTTTACCATTTTTACTTTCTATATACATTGTTATATTATTATACATTGATCTCTGACAGTCATTGTGTTACGATCACTCTGTGGGATTGGGTCTTGCTGGTTATACTACTTGATCCGGGTCCCATGAAGATCCGCGTTAGAATTGGTCTTCAGTAAAACATGCTTGTCGTAAGAGGTGACTAAATGGATTGTCAGGCTCACTGACTTGGTTGACACATGTCATTGTATCCCAATTGCGTAGATCGATGCTCGTGCTGTTGATCACTGGATTGTATGGTCCAGACTTTTTATTTACAGACCGCCGTCATATAGCTGGAATATTGCTGAGTGTGGCGTAAAACTCACTCACTCACTTGATCTGGGTTTTGTCTTGTTCATGTAACTGGTTGATAGGAAACACAATGTCCAGCACATGCTATAGTTAACCATGGCATGGTGGCATAATAGTGTTGAATCTCTCAAAGACAGCTGTTTTTTATAACTGAAACAAAAATATAGAGGAAGATGAGATGTGGTTAAAATGTTTAGTTAGCCATGTTAAATTATAAAATTAGCGACATAATCACCAGAAATAAACATTTTAAAGATTCTGAAATAACATTTAAAATGACTTAGATATATGCATAGATATATGATAACAAGCAATTCTATAAATTACTAATGTTTACAATCAGATTGTCTGTCCAAACCTCTGTAGCTATCCCAAAAGTTTGCTGACTTTTTTGGTGGGGTTGTGACAAGTGCAAGATGGATTGAAGTGCCCAATCTGAAAAACATGCCAGTGAAAACAAGGCTTGGGTTAGGAAAGAGAGGACAAAATGGCATAAACAGGGACTAGCTCAATGACCATTTATTTCATAATTAAACTAATCCAGAAGTCAAAAATAGATTTATAGTATAGTCCTTTTGATTTCATTTTAGACAGATGAATTGCTCACTAACACAAAATCTAATAATTGCAACAAAACCAACTTTTGCACAATCCCATGAAATCGACAGACCAACAAGTTAGTCAACAAGCGTGTGTAGTCAAATTTTCGGTTTCACACATGCAACTCGCACACCTGGCTGTTCTACCAGCAAGTGGTCCCCCCCTCATAAGAAATAGCAACAAGTGGCAACAAAATAATGATCGTTTGTTAAACTTTTTATTCAGGTGTCCCAAATTATGATACAAATCATCAGAGCTGGTCTGTCAATTTCATGACTTAAGCTGGGTTTAGAGTGCTAGCTCAATGAGATACCATACCGCAGTTAAGCATGTATACCCCACTCAGACTCATTATACTGACTCCCGAATCGACCAGTCCTTGTTGTACTCATTTATGCCAAGCGCTAACAACACTGAGATAGACAATGCTATATTCACCTGCAGGCCACATGGCGGGGGTACAACCTGCGGATGAAGTTGTCGGCTGCGCTGGAGTATGCCAGGAGGGAGGGAGATGGTGATGACTCCGATCTGGACGACTTCAATATGGATGATCTAACCTTTGATGAGGTAATATCTTGAACACTCTAAGCAATTTGTCCCATTGTTTTAATCATTTCAGGAAAGACTCTCTCCATTTTCAAAGTTTTCCTTCATGTTGTAGTTTTACCATTTTTATCCCCCGCATCTTCATTGTTGACCCAGATATGAAGTTTATTTTGTGTGGTTTCCATGGAAACGTGACTTAGGCTGTGGCTATGAGGATGTCCTCTTGTCCAGAGCAGATCTCCTAAACTATACATGCTAGCTTCATCAAACTTAGTACACATACCAAGCATGATCCCTAGATGTGCCTTTTTGGGTTTAGACCCAGATATGAATTTTATTTTTTGTGGTTTCCATGGAAACGTGACTTAGACTGTGACTATGAGGATGTCATCGTGTTGCATTTCCATGGCAACAAGTTAGGCTTCAACTGAATTTGATGGTAGTGCTCCTCTCTGGAGCAGATCTTAAAAACCTTTCAATACTCTCCTTCCACTTTGCTGTATACACTCCAAAACATTTGACATAATCATAACTAGTAGACATATTCATAAAGAGTAATTTGCCATTGCGGGGGATATTGATGACTTGTCTTCTTGTTATATTTGAAGGAATCTCTAGAGAGGGGATGGCGACCAACAGAAACACCCCAGATTCCACGGAGGTAAGACAATAGCTTATAGGAGGCATGGAGTGTTATCACAGTAAGGATTGGTCCCCAGCGCCTTATATCTGCTGTAAGAGCCAGATAGCCTTAGAATCAGTGACTCTGTGAGAGCATATCAGTGTAACCCAATGAAGTGTACTGTTGTATATGCTTTTATCACTAGTTTGTCTGGTCCAAACTTAATTTTTAGCCACTTTATATTGCAAACCGTGCAAGCTAATGTTCATGTAGTGACAACTGCTATGTAAGAGAATAGCTGATAAATTTGTTAACTTTACAGAGTTTACTTTAGTTTTCCCATCCATTAAGATAGTTTGGTCATGGAAATTAAAATATATTTCGGCTATGTTTTGGGTGCAAATTTTGCTCATTGTAGTTTTTTAGTCATTTGAAAACTGACATTATAGCCATCCTGTGCTGGGCAAACCACCAATCGGACATCGGGGCACACCAGATGTACTCAAGCTGGAGCTGGCCCCTGTCCACCCACCCAACCGTCCTCGCCAGGCCTGGAGGAACACTGACTCGCCCCTGTCTGAGTTGGGTCCCCACCCACCACGACCCCCATCTTCAATCAGAAGTCTCACTGACACCCATCGTACAGGCCTGTCAAAGAAAGAGGAGAAGTTGGCAGAGGAATGGTAGATGCTGTATAATTGTATATTTTCCTTACCCGACTCATGCTTATTGCTTGTCTCCCTTTCCTTCCAAATGCTAGTGGAACACTTGAATCCCCTTTTGAAGCTCCCTTAAAAAAAGCGGACGTAAAATCACTTACCAGGAGTCACCTCCCTTGCCAGGTTTTGGCGGGAACGGCGCCGCCCGTCTCCCATGCTCTTCACTCTCTCCTGATTCGCCCAAGTGGGCGGTTGTGAGAGCACCTGGTCCCCTATACGGCTTTATATCCTTTTATTATTTAGGCTTTTCTTCTAAATTAGCTGTATAAGGCTTTAGTTAACATTTACCCACAATATTGTACGGAATTAATTCTCAAATTTCTCCGTTTTCGTCACGTTTTTACGTGATTATTCACATTGTTTACAATTGATGAAATCTTGTTCTGATTGTAGGTATCGTTTGTCTGCTGTTGATCCGCATAACCTATGTCCTAATTGCAAGCCTATATGTTTATCTGACACTTGTTGTCAGTTGTGTTTTCACCTGTCTGATATTGCATTTTACAAATATTCATATTATCTATCTAGACGTGCAAAGGACAGGTCCAGACGAGAATTACACGACATGTCTAAACCGGCTAAGCTTGCAGAGGACCGGCAGTTGGTGTCTGCGCAGATACACCATTCCAGTGGTCTACCGGGGTCGTCTACAGAGGAGGTTGCCGCCTTAGACAACGCTGGCTCGAGGAACAGGTCATCTACATCTGAGACACCCTCTTCGCAGTCTAAGAAGACTAGGGCATCGTCTTCCCAGAGGAAGAAGGCAGCTACAGCTAAGACTTCGGCGAAGTCTACACACGGGGCAACGCAGAAGACGAGATCTTTTTCAGCTGAGATCGTCCCTCTGGAAGAAATAGATGTCTACGATGAGCCGCCCATCCTCATCCCTGAGATCACATCTAAGAAGAAGACGAAGACGTCTTCTACAGTGACCACGCAGGACATCCTATCAACGCAGACGTTCGGCACGAAGGATCTACGCCCTTCGGAAGAAGCCTCATCCGTCTCAGATGCGTCGTCAGTACAACAGACAACGCAGACCTTCAACCCGGGCGCCTTTATGCAGCAATTTACCCAACAGATGTTGGATCTGATGGAACAACTGTTCGCACGCGAGAGAGCTGCGACGAAGACGACGTCTGCGACGAACCCGAGTGACGGTCAACTAAGCAGCACACCATGTCCGTTGGGAACCAAAGTCCTGCAGAGCATACAGGAAGATTCCAGCTCGACTACAGCGTCCGCACGAATACCTGGCAGCCATACCAACATGGACTCCACACCAACTACGTTCAACGGAAGGACCAGACGTTCGCCGAACCCACGCAGATCACCATCGACGTCAGATACGGACGTTAGCCGAACCCACGCAGATCACCATCAACGTCAGATACGGACGTTCGTCACGAACCTGCACGCAACGGTTCGTTAGCAAGGAGAAGAGAATCAACATCAGTACGAAGGCATAGAGATTCGTCACAAGACTCCAACCCTCGACAAAGCCGTTCACCAACACGCAGGTTCACTCGAAGGCACGCACGGTCATCTCTATCTCCAGGCAGGTCCCCACGTAGGCTGTCACGAACACATTCACGAACGTATGGTTCGCCACGAAGGTCACAACGCAGGTCGCCTTACAGATCGCCACGCAGGTCACCACACAGATCGTCTTACAGATCACCTTACAGATCTCCTCGTTCAGACGACAATAGAAGACATCCATCCTCAGAGCAGGAAGATGACGGAGGAATTATATTTTCCGACTCGGAAATCAAGTCGGTTTGGAAATTCGCATCACCCTCTAAGAAGACCAACGAAGCACTATCATACTTGATGGTGAATGATGATATAGACTCACTCACGATGCCACCTATCGACCCAGTCTTAGACGTTCCAGACAACCTCAGCACAGCCTTCAAGAAGGCAACTAAATACCAGACTCGGAGTATTCCGTCGTTCAACGCTAAGAAGTTCTCTCTACACCACATGGAACCCTTCATGAAGGCCCCAGAGATAGATGAGAATTATAAGATCATCAACGACACTCGGACTAAAGCTTACAAGATAGAAGATAAAAAGCTGGCACAGTTAGACACAGTAACCAGACAAACCTTCTTCGGCCTAGCCAGGTCAAGAGCTATCAACGAGACTCTCATCTCGAAGTTTAAGAATTCAACTTCAGAGGAAGATAAAATGATTTATTCAGCTCTACTTACACAGAAAAAGGATCATCAGTTCATGTCTGAACACCTATCATCCATTTCTGCAGGCTTAACATTATCAAAAAGGCAAGGACTGTTATCTTCATGTACTTGGAGCGAGAAGTTTACCAAGACACTCTACAGAGCCCCTTGGTCAGCACCATCCATTTTTGCAGGAGAAATTGATGAAGTCGCCAAGGAAGTCGCTAAAGATTCCCGAGAAGTAATGATGATCAAGTCTATCGATACACTGGCCAGTGTAATACGTCAGACCTCCCAACGTTATTCCGGAATATCGAAATTTGCAGGCATCCAGAGAGCAAGGGATAAGAAATCAGGCAACGCTAAAGGAAATAAGGATTCTTTTCATTGCCCATCCGCAGCTCCAAGAGGTAACTACGGAAGAGGTCGGCCCTTTCTAGGCGCCAGAAGTTCCAGACGATGAAATACAGGTTCGGAACGACTGGAGTCTTCCACCCCCAGCCGTCCCAGTACAACCCTCACAAGTGGGTGGACGTCTGCAACTCTACTGGAAGAATTGGGGAATTCTTCAAGACGACTTCGTATCTCAGATTCTACGCACAGGTTACAGGATACAGCTACAAGCAGTACCACCAGTAACAATCAACCCTATGGTTCACAACTACGCTGCAGACCAGAAGGGAAATCTACTAGAAGCCATCACATCTCTACTAGAGAAAGAGGCAATAGAAGAGATAAAACACTGCGTCACACCAGGTTTCTACTCCCCAATTTTTCTGGTACCAAAGGAAAATTCAAAAGAAAAGTTCCGACTCATTTACAACAACAAGATTTTCGACTCATTTACAACAACAAAGATTACCTCCTACCACCCGCAAAGTTCAAGATGATACATCTTCCACAGCTACGACAGCTCATACGTCCGCTAGACTATCTCGCCAGCATAGATTTACAGGATGCATACTTACACATCCCGATCCATCAGGAGTCAAGGGAATATCTATGATTCCTGTTCAACAGACGTCATTTCCAATGGAAGGTCCTGCCATTTGGAATATCGTCGGCCCCCTGGTTGTTTACTCGAAGTGACAAAGCCAATCAATATATATCTACATTGTCGAGGTCTACGCAGTGCGTTCTACCTAGACGACGGGATTCAAGCTCAGCAAGATCCCAGTCAACTCAGACTGCAACTGAACTTCACCATCAGACTTCTCACTCCACTAGGATGGCTAGTAAATCTCCTCAAGTCGGAACTAGAGCCTACTCAGGACTTGCAATTCCTAGGAATACGGCTTATAACAACGAAGAATCGCATTCTCGTTCCAGAGGATCGCTGGATCAAGATTCAACAAATGATCTCTCAAGTTCTACTCTCTCCGTTACCACTACCAGAATGGCAGAGCCTATTAGGTCTCCTCACGTCAGCTCAAGACATGACACGCAGAGGGAGACTACAACTGCGTCCACTACAGAGATTTGTGAACGTCCACTTACACAGTCTGGATCCCTTCGAAATACCAGACAGGCTAAAACCAAATCTACTATGGTGGACTCAGAAGTCGAATGTTTGCAGCGGAAATTACTTAATAGAGCCGGAGTGCAACGTCCACCTCTACACACACGCATCACTGCACGGTTGGGGAGCACACCTCGACAACGAAGTGGTTGCCGGGAAATGGTCGAAACAAGAAATGAATCTGCATATCAACATGCTCGAGATGAAAGCAGTAGTAAATGCCCTACTACATTGGTCCAACATACTAAGGAACGCAAAATTGATGATCCGTACGGACAACTCAACAGTGGCGTTCTACATAAACAAACAAGGATCAACAAGATCTTGGAATCTTCTAGACCTCAGCTTTCAACTATTCAACATAATAGACAATCTCAACATTTATGTGAAAGCATGTCACATTCCGGGAGCCAGGAATGTAATAGCAGATGCGCTATCTCGACCACATCAACCATCCCCAACAGAATGGATGTTACATCCACAAGCATTCCCGATCCGCAAGCATGGGCGACAGACGCTCTAAGCATCCCATGGGAAGGGCTAAACGCGTACGCGTTCCCTCCGCCAGCGTTAATACCACAGGTATTACAGAAAATCAGGCAGACAAACAATCTACAACTGATTTTGGTCGCGCCTACTGGCCAGCAAGAACGTGGCTTCCCGTTCGCTTACAAGAAATCAGAAAACCAACAATACAACTTCCAGTTTGCTCGAACCTACTAATTCATCCTCACACCAAGCAAGTTCAAAAGTATCCCAGATTATTCCACGTCACAACACAGTTCATCTAGGATTGAGGTGGGATTTCATAGCTAAGAATCAACTGCCAGATCAACTGGACAGACAATTCCACATCCCAGCATTATCTACAATCCTTGGTCCGCAGGATATACAAGATTTATCCTTATGTCCAGTCAGAGCGCTGAAAATATATCTACAAAAGTCTAAAACCAGGAGACGAAAATTCAAACGCCTTTTCATCCCCATATCGTCGGAGACACCCACAGATATCTCACGTACTACGATATCAGTTTGGATGAGAGCAATCATACTGCGAGCCTACAAGGCAGCAGGACTTGAGCCTCCTCGAGCCTCCAATCCGCACGAAGTTAGAGCACTGGCATCTACACTCGCTCTACATGGAAACTGCTCAATATGCACGATCATGGAAGGGTGTTTTTGGAAATCGGAGACAGTATTTGCTAACCATTACCTCAGAGACATTGCTACCGAGGACGTCTCTGGTATCCACCAGTTTGGACCTCTGGTTGTAGCTCAACAGCTGACGGTCCCTCAAAGGCGCTGAGATGTATCTCGCCACTTTTACCGCATGTCATGCAAAGCTCGTACTCCAAGGAATAGAGCTTATAGTCCATGTACACGTCTAGAACAGACTAGCATGAATATTGGACCCTGTACTTGTAAGGAATTACTTGTACATGGATAGGGTCACTACTTCACTTGATACGAACATCAAGAGTTGGAGTTATTTAAATCCACATGTACGGTTACAGAAGAGTTTGATATATTGTGCCCCCCTCAAATTACCAAATTATTTCGACATATGGATCAACAGCAGCAGTGCCATTAAAGTTCCCATGGGGGTATAAAGGATGTAAATTCATCACTAAGGAATCCAGAGGTGGCTTGACCCACCACCTATACCGTCGGATTTTACAAGCAATAAGCATGAGTCAGGATAAGGAAAAATATGTAATTTTCTGAATAAAATTGATATTTTATACTTATCCTGACTCATGAGGTAAGCCCTCCCAACCTCCCCTCAAGGCACTCTGGATTTCCCAGTAAACCAGTGTGTCGGGCTATAAATACGGAGAGAGTGAAGAGCATGGGAGACGGGTGGCGCCGTTCCCGCCAAAACCTGGCAAGGGAGGTGACTCCTGGTAAGTGATTTTACGTCCGCTTTTTTTAAGGGAGCTTCAAAAGGGGATTCAAGTGTTCCACTAGCATTTGGAAGGAAAGGTAGACAAGCAATAAGCATGAGTCAGGATAAGTATAAAATATCAATTTTATTCAGAAAATTACATTACATTTCAACAAATTGATCTTCAGTAACCCATGCAAAGGGACCTCTAATTTTAATTCATTATAACTGTTGTTCGTTATACACATTTGACTTAAATATACACCAAGTGGCCAGGAAAGAAACAGGTCTTTATAACCTTCAGTTTTTGATAAGCATGTTTAGTATAAACATAGTTCACTGTGTATGTTGTATTGTATTCTGAATTCTGCTGCCCATCTTCGACTTCAGGGGGTGGTTGGGTAGCCTAGTGGTTAAAGCATTCGCTTGTCACGACAAAGACCTGGGTTCCATTCCCCATATGGGTACAATGTGTGAAGCCCATATTTTTAACTAATCCTGCACTACTTACTTTGTGCACTTTTTTGTGTTTTTCCCCGTTTTTCACATGAATGAATGTGCTTGTTGCGCTTTCTTAATGTATCATCTTAACACCTTTTTTTTCCGTCTATGAAGCGCCAGGTCCAACGCCAACGTCACCTATGGCAATCACCCAGATACTTGCCACACCACTGATGTCCACTAACTCTAGGGCGTCTGGCACTCCGTCTCCATTCTCCAGGTTGCTGTTTTCAGAGTTTCCATGGCAGGCGTCATACTCCGACGCCTAAGATCCATGCGCCGAACCGCGCTCAGCAGTCACTGGATATTTCGACATCCATTCCACACTTTCCTTAGTTATCAGGGACTGCAGCGCCTGTACAGCGCATCTACCACATCGACTACGACCTCGGCGTTCAGCAGTTGGTGTCAGCGTCTCAGTCGCCATACCTACCTGTTCCAGCTTCGTTCCTGACTACAGCAAATGTATGGTCTACCTGATCCAGCGCCTGTACGGTGTCTGTAAACCATACTTACTCACTCCAGAGCCTGTATGGCGTTTCCCCCAGATCCAGCTCTTGTATGGCGCCTATAACACCATACTCACTTGCGCACTCCAGCACCTGTCCGTCAGTTCTACCAGATATAGTGCCTGTACAACGCCTACTCACTCCAGCGCCTCTCGTTTTTCTACTACCAGATATTGCGCCTGTACTGCACTACCAGCTGGACGGCGCTCTTCAAGATCCAACGCCTATACCATCATACTCACTCACTCCAGTGTCTTGTCCGGCTTTTCTGCCAGATGCAGCGCCTGTATGGCGCTACCAGCTGTATGGCGCCTCTACTAGATCTAGCGCCTGTACGGCACTACCAGCTGTATGCCACCTCTACTAAATCTAGCACCTGTACGGCACTACCAGCTGTATGGCACCTCTACTAGATCTAGCACCTGTACGGCGCTACCAGCTGTATGGCGGTACGGCGCTACCAGCTGTATGGCACCTCTACTAGATCTAGCACCTGTACGGCGCTACCAGCTGTATGGCGCCTCTACTAGATCTAGCACCTGTACAGCGCTACCAGCTGGATGACGCCGCCACTATATTCAGTGACTCCGGTGTTTAACATACTGCGTCACCACCTCCAACATCGTCAAGGGTTTGGCAGCTGTTGGTTGCGCCACTGTCTCCGATGGCCCCTACGTCGGGAGACGAACACATCTTGCCCTCGGAGACTTCAACTATTATGGTGCCTAAGGCCGGGCGTGGTATTTACGCAATCCCTTGTCAAGATATTAAGCGTGTGACAGTTTTCAAACTTAGCTTAGGCTATTAACACTGTCTCTCTAGACCTGACCTGAGATGAATCCGTACAGAATCGTCACCTCTCTTCTATGATGGCTTGGTAGTGGATGGTCCTCACTGTCCTTGGCAAACACTTACGGGCAGATCTCGCCAATGCTTATGTTATTTGAGGTCAAGGCTTTCTCTCCCCTTTTCCGTCTGGGATTCAAAGTTTCAGTGGAATCTATCTGGCCAACCCTAGTTCTTGACTACCATATTTAATAACGAGTTCAAAGACGTCTATCGAACAGTGTGCGACTTTCCTCAGGGAGATAGTGTTGACAGACTTCCAGCAAGTCTAACATCCTCATCGCATGAATCCAGTACCTACTCTTGCCTCGGCGCCACACTGTTAGGCAGGCTTGGAATCAGGCTCCGATCCGTGGTTGGAGACGTGGTGACAAGTCTCATATCGACAAGGGAGGATATGAACATAGCTGCGTCCCCTTCAAGGGTGACGGAAGCAGGGGCAAATGAAGCTCAAGATCCACACAACTGGACACTCCCTCTTCCAGAGGCTCTTGTATTATCCAAACACCCGTACATTGGTGACTACTGCGTTTCTGACGTAATTGGTTATTTCTTGGGGGTCCATACGTCACGACATCTGGAAACATGTGTTCCGGCTCCTCATAGCTCTGCCTCAATGATGTGCCTGGTTCCAAGGTTTACCTGTGCTTTTACTTCAACAGCGCCATGGTTATTAACTCATATCATAATGCAGCAACAGTGTTAACTTGGTGATTTCACATGTGCTCTCCACCATATGGCGTAATTTGCATACGGACAGCAGCCGTTTTTCACCATACGTCTTTATACTAGCTGGGCTAATTAGCTGGGTTGACTTGTCAACCGGGACATTTCGGACCTTGTACCATCACACACGCTGACGTACATTTGAGGCCTCTTTCAAGCAGACAAGATCCTCATTCGGAATCAGGCAGGTACAGGTTTTAGACCCTCATCCCATGTGTGCTGTTCGGACCGATGTCCACCCGGGAATGACAGGCGGACATTCATCAACGTGTCGGTCTCCTGCCTCACTTACCTCAGTATTTTTTTCTTGTAGTGGACTCGCGCATAGATGTCATAGCTGCAGTCCCCTTGACTGAGCGAGTTCCGAACTACCTACGTTTAGGTCGGCGCCTCCATGCAGAATTGAGGCACCCCCTTACTATATCTGATAATCTCAGGGTTTCGGACATGAGCTCAATCAGCAGTTTGGAGCTCCAGGCAGTGTTCCTCGCTATCCGTCACTGGGCGCATTGTCTCCCGGGCAACCCGATTGTTGTGTGGTTTAACAAGAGTTTGACCGGGTTACTGTTTCCAGAAGTTCCGTCTGTTCTCCAGTAATAGCCGACACCCATGTCGGTCTGAGAACTCAGCATATTGCTGGGTGCAGGTACATCTTGGCGGATGCTATATCAGGATCTGACAGAGTGTTGGACCTGGCACTTCATAGGCGGAAAAACAAGGTGTTAAGATGATATATTAAGAAAGCGCAACAAGCACATTCATTCATGTGAAAAAACGGGGAAAAACACAGAAAAGTGCACAAAGTAAGTAGTGCAGGATAAGTATAAAAATATAAAAAATATTTAGATTTTACTAATTCTGGTGTCCCCCACTGTGATATTGCTGGAATATTACTAAAAGCGGCAAAACCAATACTCACTCATTCCACTTCAGGGGATTCCATAGCTCTCGGACTGCAGAACTGATGATACAGAGAGCCAAGAAAATGAAGCTGAACTCAGAGAAGAAAAAGAAACTGAGTAAACTTGGTATGGAAGCTATAATTAATTCAGAGTCTTTTTTTTTTTTCTTTTCTTTTTTGTCATTTTCACCTTTCTTCACCAGCCTGTACATGATATCGGTCATTGTTATCTGGTGTGAAAGCAGGACATAAGAGATCTTGCTAGGGGAAATAACTCTTAGCACAGGTTACAGTCACTTATGTATTTGTGATGTGTGACTGGTTGTTTGCATTCCACATTGGGAGATTAGAAAAATTCCTTACATGCAAGTTATTTGTTTGAATAAATAATGCAGATTAATTTTTATTTAGAAAAGCAAGAATCCAAACAGATATCCAATACAATATTGATATGAAATATTTACAAGAACAGCATGCTATTTCACTACAAATGTGCAGTGAAGCACTTATGATTTCTTTTTTTTAACAGATCCCAAGCAACGACTAGCTTTGTTTCACAAACTGGAAGAAACAACAAAGCTGTCTCCAATAAGACCAGTTGTTAGGCGAACACTACCAAGGAAGGAATATTTTCAAGGTAGGAAACTGAAAAAGAAACATTTATGTATTAATATATAGAAATTAAGAATAGTAGGATTCTAAGAATAAGTGGAATGTTAGAAGTTCCACAACAATCCAAGTGGAGAAATGCTAGTTTCGGCGCCCACTCCCACTCCCACTCCAGCTCCAGCTCCAACTCCCCTCCCGCTCCATCTCCCGCTCCCCTCCCACTCTGCTCCACTCCTCTCCTCTCCTCTCCCCTCCCTCTCCAACTCCCGCTCCTCTCCCCTTCCGCTTCCCCTCCGACTCCCACTCCACTCCTCTCCAATACCTGCTCCGCTCCCCTCACGCTCCGCTCCCACTTCCGCTCTCTCTCTTCTTCCCTCCCGCTCCCCCTCCTGCTCTGATCCCACTTCCCCTCCTGCTCCTGCTCCGTCCCCCCCCCCCCTCTCCAACTCCTCTCCCTTCCGCTTCCCTCCCACTCCACTCCCACTTCTGCTCCCACTCCCGCTCCTGCTCCCGCTCCCACTTCTGTTCCCTCTCCACTCCACTCCACTCCAACTCCTCTCCCCTTCCGCTTCCCCTCCCGCTCCACTCCCACTTCCGCTCCTCTCCCCTGCTCCTCTCCCACTCCACTCCACTCCTGCTCCTTCTTCACTCCACTTCTGCTCCCGCTCCACTCCACTCCGCTCCCACTTCCGCTCCCACTCCACTTCACTTCTGCTCCCGCTCTCACTCCCTCTCCCACTGCAAATCTTAATTGTTTTGGAACTGCTCAATTATTTTATTTTGGTGATACAGTAATCAGACATCTTTGTCTGAATGTTTTTTCTGCCTCATATCAACAAATTGGAAGCCTCTCTGCTGATTGGCTGATTACTCAGATCTTCATTCAGAGAGGTATCATATCAGAGTAAATGATCAGATATCAAAGACTGCTGTGACTCAAGGTTAATAAATACAGACTTATATAAGCTCATATATAGGATACTTATGCTAGATACTTTGATTATATTTCATTTTTAGCCCAAACTGGAACACGTGGTATGATTAGTATCTATATGTGGTATCTCTGTGTTGTGTTTCCAGATATGGCGTCTGCTTGTAGTAAGTGTTAGTCTAGGATCTGCTATGTCACTGTCACAAACTGACCAATCAGGTGTCACCACCATTCACTTGCTCTCTGGTTTGACCAAACTGGTCAAAGTCTTAGTGTTGTTGAGCTTTCCTCCCACATCAAGCCTACACACGGTGGGGTGCGTAGTGGTTAAAGTGTTCGCTCATCAACCTAAAGCCCCCGGGTTTGATTCCCCATATGGGTACAATGTGTGAAGCCAATCTCTGGTGTCCCCTGCCATAATATTGCTGGAATATTGCTAAAAGCAGCGTAAAACTAAACTCACTCACTCACTCACTACAGACAGCGACACAGAATAGGACCTTTTGTGATTCCTAGGCAAAGGATAAGTCCCCAACAAATTATACCTCACTAGCATTTCATTATGTCCAAAGTCCATGGACTGGCTGTCTCTGGATTGTCTGGACCATACTTGAATATTTAGCTTGAAGATTATTGAGTGTGACATTAAACACCAACGAACAAAACAGAATACAAAAATAGAACATACTGGCCAGTGTGATTTAATTACTGGCCAACCCACCCACTCACTAACTGTAGTCAGCAGTTGTATTTAGCTTTGAGCACCGTTAGCTTGAGCACAGTAGTACATTCACAAGTTCAGTTAACAGCTCCTTCGTTGATTTAAGAAGATCATGCTATTTTTATTTCTTATTGTCAAACTTTGTGTACATATAGAACACATAGGAACTATTTTAGATCCATTTACCATTGTGCTTGTTGATAATGCTGTAATATCAAACACCATGTTCACTTATGCTTATATTGGTTATGTAGAAAAGATCAAAACAACTGGTTGGATACGAAGTAATTAAAGATAATTGCAAAAACACACTGGTATTTTTTCAGAAGGAAAGTATGGTTGATTGGGAGATATGGATGTGACATGCAGAGTGAACTAAGGGAAAGTATAATTTAGGGCGATTTTGAACCAAATATAGGCCTATTTGCACCTTGCATGCTTTTAGCTGCTATAAATCATAGATTGAGGTGACAGTAGCATTACTAGCATTAATTGGGTTGCAGAGTTACCTCCCTTCCCATATGAACCGCTCTCTCAACTATCACTGCCACCAGTCACAACTCTCTACTGTGCTAAGCCGAGCTCCAACAAAGCATGGAATTTACCTTGCAACCATCTTACTGTTATGTTTCCAAACAAGGAACAATTTTTGTGACACCAAATATGCTTCCACCAGATATTCTGTTTTTGTTTTTTTGGTCAACAATTATATAATTGTGGTATAGTGAGAATGTATGGCAAAATTTTGGGTGCTTTTACCAATCTGATTAAACAAAGACCAAAAAAAGTAAAATTAATTAGAAATTAACATTTTTAATGGCGCCAGCAATTTAGACATGCATAAAAATATACTCATCACTACGTTTGGATTTTGACAGAAAATGTTCAAAATTCTTGAAACAGCCTCTTGCACTGTGGAGGTAACAAAGGTGTCACTCGCTAGCATAATTATGAACTTGATGAATCAACTCTGGAGTAGATTTTGTTTTACGTTCAGTTTAGGGAAAGAGGCTGAATTCAGTCTAGGCAGTCCATGTTGTTTACTTAAGTTTTCTGCTTCTTAACTATAATGTTTGTTTTCTCGGGTTCAGCTCGAGAGGATGAGATTCAACGCCAGGAGTTTGTGAAACGACAGGAGGCTAAGACACGCAGTGTGCGTACATATGAGTGGCTGCACACACAGGTGGCCAACTTCCAGGAGGGGTAAGCCAAGCTTGTAGTGCGGGAGCTATTGATTGAATAATCAGTCAATTGATCAAACTCAATATTCAAGACATTGTCAGTATTCAAATTATGAGTCATTGTTGTGAAGTTAAAGTTGTCTTTTATAAGTTAGTGACATGTTTTATAGTTATTCATGTGATAAACAATTGTTTTTGAGTGTCCGAAAACCCACATGACAAAGATGCACAAGTCACTTAAATGTGCACCAGGAAATAACCTCAATCGTCTTGATCGTAGTATTAATTGGTGCAAGTTTATTTGCACAGTGTTATGATTGTGTCCCATTATTGCCCACATAAGTTTTGTGGTGTGGTTTACAATCAATAATTGATCAAATACTAAGCTCCAGTTATCGGTCTGCTCATTGTGAGTGATAACCAGCAATAATAGACATCCTGCAAAAAGTGTTCTGTACTTTACACTGAAAACAAGACTTCATTGGTGTTTTTTCTGGGTCTCAATTTATAGTAGATATGGTACTCTGTTTATGGTAGCTATGCTGTAACTCCTCTCACGCAAGTCTGTATTGTCTAGGCTTGATTATTTGATTATTTGAACGATTCTGTCATGTAGCTCTAATACTGCTGGGGGGCACTGGATGTCTTCTTGTCAGTCATCCTGCCTCCAGATGAGTTCTTGGTCCACTTCTTCCTACAGCATGTCTTCTTGCTGGGGGCAATGTTAAGCATCACACAGCAGATAAACCTAAAACAAAAAGTAACATATGTTTAAATGACTGATCCAGGCCTGCAGAGAGGAACAGTGACTTGGAGGGAGGTCATCCTGCAGGTCGACACACGCACATGGTGAGTCCTTGGGTTTTCTTCTGATGTCTTAAAAACTAATCTCCAACGTTGTTAAAATTGATGCTAAGTTTTGCTTGTGTTTTCTTTTTCCTTTTTCCTTTTTCCATTTTTTTTTTGTGAAAGAAAAGAATGAAAGGTGTATGGATATATGTTTGTAGGTTAGATGCATTAAAATTATTTTGTTTTTTAAATTTGGTGCCTGATAGAGACTCTTTGTGCTGAATGGGAGTAGTTTGTGAGGAGGAGTCATTTTTCTGTTCTGAAATTATATATTTCTAATTAGTTAAAGTAATATTGTGCACATTTTCAAATCCTATAATGTTACTGGTATGAACATGATAACATCTTTGTAATAATTATCGTCATTGCTTACTGGTTCTGGGAGAACATTGCTTATATAGTTGTAAACTTGGTCATGTTTTAATTTCTTACCTGAGCTTCTATACCATATAGTGATTACTTCAGAAAAACCTTCACTAACATCTCTGGGGTTATTTTTGAGAGAAAAACCTGGAAATGAGGTAACAAGAAATAACAGGAACTATGATATTGTACCAATACATGCTTTCTCCTATACAAACAGACTTCTGGGTATGATGACTCGCAGAGTGTGGAGGAGCGGAGATGCAGAAGGTTCTCATCAGGTGAAGGTTCAGGTAGGTCACTGGTCATCATATGAAAGTTTGGACAGGTCACAGGTACTGGGTCAGATAAAGAAGATGAACATTGACTTTGACTGTTCACCAATTTGATCACTTGAAAGTTATGTAATGGCCCAGGATGTATTTGGAGCATATTGGTTTGTATATATTTTAATATTACTTTTCTGTGATTTTGAATTATTTACCCTCTTTATATTGAACTTGCAAATTTGTAAAAATTCAGAAATGTCAGAAACTGTCAGTACCTTACTGGTATCAGCTTGTCTACTCCAGGTCAAACTTCATTCTTGCCCCCAATAAAGTCCAATTCTGCTGGAAGCACTGGGAGTAATGGTGGACGGAAGAAGGAGAAGATGTCATGGAGGAACAAACCAACTGATGTGGATGTTGGCTGGGGTGGGGGTCGGAAGAGACGGAACTGATGCAGTGACACAAGCGGGCCCCGTTTCACAAAGCTATCGTAGCGCTACCACTGTCAAAAGTCTATGTTAAAGTATGGGAGTTACGATCATCTGAGTGCTACAGTAGCTTTGTGAAATGGGGCGGTGGTTGTTTGTTTGTTGTCTGATGTGAAATGGATATGTAATTTGCTCTTTGAGCTGAAGCTGTGAATGATAAATGTGCATATTTATGATAGGGGTGAAACATTTACTGCTCAACTTTTGATAAGGATAATTTGACATGACTGTTTGAATGTACAGATAATATTAGGACAGTGAGTATGAGACTCCCTATCAAAAGTGGTGAAGATTAACTTTTCTAAAGTCTTTGAAACTGTGCCTTTGTAGAAAAGCTTGAGAAAAATTAGCGTTATTCTGATGTTTGGTAAACAGATTACACTGAGGTAATCGATGGGGTTGCCCAGTGGTTAAAGCGTTCGCCCGTCACGCTGAAGTCTCGGGTTCGATTCCCCACATGGGTACAATGTGTGAAGCCCATTTTGGAGTCCCCTGCTGTCATATTGCTGGAATATTGCTACAAGCTGCATAAAACCAAACTCACTCACTCACTATCTCTATAGCCAAGTGTAGTCACTTTGCAGAGTTCTTTCCCTTATTTGCCACTGTCTGTTACACATTATCAGAGATTACATCAAAGTGAAAGATTTCATTATTTTCTTTGTGTTATTCAGTCACCATACTGTGACTGAAATGTTGTTGGAAGTGTTGTTGAGACATATGTGATCCAACAACATGTCAGTGTCAATATTGTGATGTCTGAGCCAGGAAAATGTCCATATGTTGTTTGTCTGGTAGCCAGTGTACTATGATACAAAATGGTGTGTTGTATTTATTGAGTATCTGTGATATTACTGATTAACACTGATTGTACTGCCAATACACAGCCTTAAGAATATCACCCCATCCACATTTAAAGATAAACACCCTAACCAACAATTCCTCAAATGGGGGGGGTGGTGTGTTATGGTTGAAGCGTTGTCTCATCATGCCGAAGACCTGGGTTCGTTTACCCACATGGGTACAATGTGTGATATTGCTGGAATATTGCTAAAAGCGGCGTAAAACTAAACTCACTCACTCACTCTGAACCCGGCCTGATCCCAAGTTGTACCACATTAGCTCGTATAAACTGGCACAAATGATATAAATTAACGTGTCAAGTTTGATTAAAGCTACAAAAAAAATACTGATTTCTTTGTCAGAAATATAATTCTATGATGGTAAAGTATGATCACTTCTTAAAGAATAACTCAGTGAAGGTAAATTAGCAAGGGTGTTGTTTTTGTTGTTGTGATGACTAGCTCAGTCAGCTGCTTTAACAGATTTGTTGTGTTTGTTTATAAAATTCTTGAATGCCAATGATTTAGTAATCTCAACTAGTCAATAGTCAATGACTTCTTCAAATCAGAATATGATGTTCATTATCATGTTTGAAAAACTACTTTAATGAAATGTGTTTTTGAATATTAGTACTGCATAAACATGGCAAACATATATTTTCAATGCATTTCCTTTTTTTTTGTGCTATGTAAGTAATGAAATATATTTAGTCATACAGGTTGTTCATTTTGCATTCATTTCGTTTCATTGTGTAGAAGTATATTCTTTACAGTGGAGCCATACTATTAAAAATACCATGCCTTAATGAGTCACTAAGATTTATATCATTTCAACCCATGCTATCTCAAAGACTGAGTATGTGCTATCCGAGGGTATGGTTATCCTGAAAACCACATTAGTCTCCAACAACCTACTCTGGTCATACTTAACAGATTGAGTGGTATGACTCAATGACTGTGTTGAGTTGACAAAAATTCATTGAGAATGTTTAAAGATCTCTGTGTAGCACAACCAGAAATGTTAATCAGTCTCTCTATTTTGTATCTTAATTGAGAGGAAATTTTATTATAGGTGTTCCTGAACATTGATTCCACATAAAGTTTTTGAAATGATCCGTAAACATATTGTCTGAATAATTTTATAAGTGCTAAAATGGAATAAGATGCCAAACCTTGGTGGATGTCAGTCATACTTCCAAACTGTAGGGGGCAGTGGGGTAGCTTAGTGGTTAAAGCGTTCTCTCGTCACGCTGAACACACGGGTTTGATTCCCGACGTATGAAGCCTATTTCTGGAGTCCCCAACCATGATATTGCTGGAATATTGCTGCAAGCGGTGTAAAACCAAAACTCACTCACTCGCACAAAGTGTTGGAATGGTGCTGATGCTGATTAGTGATGTAGTTGTTATCTTGTTGAAGTATAAAACAGTTGTCAATCATTAAGGAAAGCGTATCATTAATCTTTTAGAGAATTTTCATGTCTTGTCTGTTAATCCAGAACTGCAAACATTGTGAGAGTAGAAGTTTTTGCTCACGCCAATAGACCAATGAACACCAAAACTGCATGTTGCTCATTGTAAAAACTTCAATCTTCTGCATGAGAGGAGGATTTTAGTTCAATTACAAGTCTGAAGCCAAGTCAAACAGACCTTTTTTGTCAGTAACTAGACAAGTAAGACAACCCTGTTACCAGTGACTAGCCAAAGACCCAGCTCAGGATGCTGAATGTGTATGTTTGTTGTTTATTACTGCACTCAGCAATATTCTAGCTATAAGCTGGTGGCATGTATAAAATCGAGTCTGTACAAGCCAGTTAGTGATCAATATCATGAACATCAGTTCTACACTACTGGGAGGGACAGTGGGGTAGCTTAGTGGTTAAAGTTTTTGCTAGTCATGCCAAAGGCACGAGTTCGATTCCCCACATGGGTACAATGTGTGTAGCCCATTTCTGGTGTCCCCCGCTGTGATATTGCTGGAATATTGCTAAAAGCGTCGTAAAACTAAACCCACTCTATCAGTCACTACACTCGCTCAGTCACTTGGATATGATGACATGCAGCAGCCAATTCCCTGATGCTTACCAACCAATCCTTTTAACGACAACCATGGATTACTGAAGAACAATTCTAAAACAGATATGCATGGGTTGGATGTTTGTCTGCATTAATCCCAAGTCCTTGCTGATTGTGATAACAAGAATTGCTTGTATTTCAAACTTGTTTCATTCATAGCAAGATAAAATATAACAATTCATTCAATAGTTTTACATGCAATGTCTGTACATTTGCCACATTCAGCAATAAGCAGGAGCAAAATGAAATCTTACAAACCTTCACCTCAAAAAGAATGTTATTTGCATATAGTTAAACAGTCACAAAACTCACAAACAGTAGACAATCATCAGTAATGAACTTAAATAATGCTTATATTTCAACAAATAGTTGCTGCCTTGGAAACATTTCAAAATCTTATATCACATCAACAAATCAATTAAAATTCATTAATCTCCCGGAAGAGAACTGTGGCTCAATGTCTACCCTAGGACCAGCCTAGTAACACACAGTGGGCACTGTGTTCATTGGGATCCGGAAATCATAATACAAGCACCAGTGAGTGAAGGGAAGAACTTTAGGTTTTCAGTACATAAAGACCCAGATCCAGTAAACAGGGCTCACTCAGTCTCAGGACTACAACAGTTGTGCCATTCTTTGACATGTAATTCAGTTTGTGTACAGCCACAAGATTTGTGGAAAGGGATTCGGATGTAAGGACGAACTGGAAGACTTTGAAAACAGATGACGTGAAGAACCTGATGACTTCAACAGGAATTGGATGCAGGGAAGAACTTGATGACTTCAGCAACATTTTGAAGAATTTTGTATAGTTGATCCTTAGCAACACCAGATGCAGGAAAAAACTTGATAATTTCAGCAACATTTTGAAGAACTTTGTATAGTTAGTCCTTAGCAACATAAGATGCAGGGAAGAACTTGATGACTTCAACAAAAATTAGATGTAAGCAAGAACTTGATAACTTCAGCAACATTATGAAGAACTTTGTTGGTGCTTAGCAACATCAGATGCGGGGAAGAACCTTGTGGTGTCTGTAATATTACTGCAGGGAAGAATGTAATGACTTCAACAAGAATTAGATGTAGGGAAGAACTTGATGACTTCAGCAACATTACCAAGAAATTTGTGTAGTTGGTGCTTGGGAACATCAGATGCGGGGGGAAGAACTTGATGACTTCAGCCACTTTAGGAAGATCTTGTACATTTGGTCCTCAGAAACATCTCATGTAGGGAGGAAATTGATCAGAAATATTCAGGACCATTGAATGGACCTGTAAAAGTAAACATTTTTGTTGAAGATCACGGATAGGCCTTAACTCAGTAATTATATCCATCAGCATTGTCAGGGAATATCTCTTGCAATTTCTCCGTTTAAAAACGTTCAAACATTTCCTTGTATGAATCAGGGTAACACATGTCATAATATTTGAATGGACCAAATGAAAAAGTGAAACCTTTCTAACAAGTGATCAGTTCTGGCCAAAGCAAAGATCTACCCTGTCAAACTAAAGACGTTAACATGGCTAATGTTTAATAGGTCATAGAAAGGGTTTAGACAGGGTTTATGTAGATGCCTCAAATGCCCCACCATGACGTAGAAGCTGCCCATCCCGCCTCCCCTGGACTTGCAGGGTGGAGGTGTTGGACCATTGGCTGGTGGTGACGGTGCTGTCATAGCCGAGGTCGGTAGACGCATGTTTCTCGATGTGATTCAGATGAGAAGGGTCTTGATCAGTTGAGAAATCTGACGTGAGATTGTCTCCTTTCAGAGACCGGGCAACTTCCTCCTGTAAAATGTATGTAACAGAAGCTTAAATTTGTGAAAACGACTATTATTCGACAGTGTTAAACCACTTACTTTATACATTGGGCATATCTATAATTTAGATTAAAATCCGTGACTATACAAAAATAAAGAACTTAGATACGCTAATCACTGTTCGAATCCTATGACCCCTCCATCATCAGGAAATAAAGGTCATCTCATAATATCATAACAGCCGACACCACACGTATGTCAAATCCACATCTTCTGTGGGAAGTCAAGCTCTCTTGGTAAGTGAGATCGTACCTCATTAAGGATCAAAGCCGACCTCCTGAGACTGGCCTCGACCTCGTCTTGGGCCATGGCCTCCGCATCTAACAGAATATCTTCATAACGACCCTGCTCTTTGATCAGCTGACCTTCCTCTGCAACCCTGCAGCAACCACAGATATGACATACATGAGGGGGTATCTGTTAATTACCATGAAAAGTGTCTTCAATTTGATAGTTCTTCAACGCCACAAGCATCACACACAATGATCTTTAAAATGTTGCCAGGTAACATGTTATATTTGACAACTACTACCTGCAAAATTGCTGAGGGCCACAAACCTGTAACCAAGCAATACCTTCTATATCTAGGTCAAGACCAAACGTTTATATTTTGTACATATAATTCAGTTTTCCAGTCCGACAATTTCTGTTTTGGCGCGACCTTCGTTTGGTGGGACGTTGTAACTTGGTGAAAATAACTTATCTGGCAACCACAACGGTGAAAAGCATCGTTTTACAGTACAGGCGCATATAGAATTCCTTTTTGTATGACATTCCAAATATACTGATAAAAAATATCACATTCTCACATTCAAAACAGTTGCGCCATTAGGATATGTATTATCACCACTCAAAGTGCTTTAATATGCTGTTTATGCAAGAGACAATCTAGAACAATAAGACATAACCCACACCATCAGAAATCGTTGTCAAAGCTTTAAGATAAGTAGTTTGAATTATAATTTCAACACTTGCATGTTACAGATTTGTAGAAACGTAAATATATAGGCAAGGCTAAACTTTTTGAAAAACAGGTTTTCTAAAAGTTTTCAGTAATCCTTTACCGAAGCCGATTAAGTTAGCTATATATAGAGACAGAACATAATATGCATGTAAACAATTGGTCGAAATGAGTCTTTATTAACCTCTAAGCCTTTAGCTTTGAAAGTATACAATATCTAAGTTCGCGGTGGTATGTAATATATCATTTATTTCAATATCTCACCTATCCTCCTGACATCGTTTCAGCCTCACAAAATCAAACTGCAGACTCGTTGACTCGGATCCACCGTCATCTGCCGAGTCGTCCAAATCTGTAAGTGACGTCATCGAATCGAGATGGCAACTCAGGTCAGACACGGACTGTCTTAAATCCAAACGGGAACCGTAAAGGTCATTCATTGACTTTGCACCCCTTAGTTTACCACGTTGATGTTCATCATCACTCATAGCGCCCAGCACTACACCGATATCCTTCAAGTCTAAGGTGTTCCTCAAGTCTCGATAACGTTCCTCGAAATGTCTCTGTTCTGTCGTATTGTCATCAAAACTGAACAGAGATTTATCCCGTGAAGAATAAAACACCGGATCTGTTAAATTCCCCATGGATCTGGACAGATGTCTCCCAGGGTTCTTTGTTGAAGCAAAGACGTTACTTTTCTCCTGAAAATCCAGCACTTGTGTTTTGGCTCCATTAGTTGATGCCCTTTTTAAACTAACATGGAGAAGATCTGTGACATACTTTAACTTAAGCTCACTGGGGAGTTTACTGACTGATACCTCCCGAATTCGGTTCACTATCGAATCATACGGATCGTCATTCTCCACTACGTCTATGCCCGACTCAGAACCGGTCAGGTCCTGGACAGGCGGAGCTTGGTCCCCTGGGACATACTGACTAGATATCACATCAGTTTGATCAAACGTAAAATGGTTCACCGCTTTATCATTCGGGTTATCTGGTGTAAATGTCACGCGCACAAATAGCTCTTTGCCTTCATCCTGTAACTTCTTGGTTTGCTCAAATCCTGGTTTCCGGAGAATGAAATTTGAACTGGTAGCACTGCCGTCTTTAGGGCCATCTTTATTGTACTCTCTGTCCTGTGTTTTGTCGTGTGCCACGCCTGGCAGTGTTTTCGAATGGTCAGATCGGTACCTTTTTGGTTTAATGGGTTTCCCACTGGATGAGGCCCTGGGCATACTACTGTGTTTGCTGGTGTTCTTCGCGTACAGTTTGGGCTTTGCTTGGCGTTGTTTGCACACCGGACTGCCTGGGCCCATGGTTTCTTCTTTCCAGTTAAAAGCGGCTGTTACCAGTTTGGTAGGAAGTCGTCTGCTTTTCAGTAGTCGTTGAAGAAACCTTACTCTGAAATTATAACAATATCATCTACAGGTTCAAAAAGAAGCGAAGTTATATGAGGGACAGTGTAATTTGGGCATCGCGAGCTGGACGACTTGGCGTGATGCAGGTACTATATTTCGTACATTTAGTTGCAATCAGCAATATTCGAGCTATATTGACCTGTAAATAATCTGGTCTGGACCGAGAAACCATCGAGTTATATTATGGGGCAGACCACCCGATTTATTCCTTCACCCCCATGAAAAGCATAGGTTGCTGTTGACCTATTCTAAATTATTACTTGACCATATTTGTATATTTATAGAAAAATTAATTTACATTTTGTTACGTGAAATGTTAGTAAAGTGTTTCTTTTTAAAAGAAGGGAGACAGTTTTTACAACTATCAGGTCAACTCGGCTCATTGGTGGGACACAAGCTATATTTCTGTGGCAGTCAGACATAAGGGGTTAACGCCTCGATACACAGTATATACCTTCCCCTACAGGTATACCGGGGCACAATAGATACGGCAACAAATATTTATTTGCCCTTAATCCCGCGACTGCTTTCTAATATAAAGAAACACTTTAGAAATATGTTCATTTTGCAACACAGCGCGGCAGTTTTAATGTCTCTTTCAAACACCTTTTAGTAGATGTCACAGCATAATTGATAAATGCTACAGGGCTCAAGGTACGGAACTCAGTCTACCAACCGAAACATCGGCGGAGCTCAAGTAAATGTAAAACGACAGTTTAATATGGCCTGTGTCCAAGATGGAAATATCGGCTCAGGGTGACTCCACAGAGCATTGGGTTAACTGGCGAATTTGCTTGTTAAAATGGTTTGGGTTCCAGCTATATGGCGGTGGTCTGTAAATAATCGAGTCTGGACAAGACAATCCAGTGATCAACAGCATGAGCATCGATCTACGCAATTGGGATACGATGACATGTGTCAACCAAGTGAGCGAGCTTCACCACCCGATCCCTCTAGTCGCCTCTTACGACAAACATGGGTTACTGACCACCAATTCTAACACGGATCTTCACGGGTATGTTAAAATGGACGACTGGCGAGGAACTAAGAAGACATGTATTGATAGGAACATCATTTTTATTTTAACGCTTTAGCCTGTAAACTGCATAATGCCTTGATATTCACAGTCTCGCTTACAAGTGACAATTTGGAACTAATTACACAATTCTCGATTATACTGCGTTAATTGTCTCTTTTCACAAGCAGGTCAACTGAACACTGGAATTCCAACTGGAATTTCACACGTTAAACCCTCGTAAATGTAATGTAATGAGATATTAACAGATCTGAGAGACTGCAAATAATTTCTTACAACTGAATGAATGAATTTGCTGAACGCCATTTGGAGTTATACCCTAGATATATCACCATGACTGGTAATTAAAGAGCCCACATTGCCTCACCTGAGAGCCAGGGAGTGAGCCTGCTGCTTGATGGCCCTGTCCATCCGATGTGGTATGTCCGAATCCATCTTGAGGATGTGCTCCTCGCGGGAAGGGGGATGCTTGTTGAGAAAGCTGATGACGGCCTGTCTCCACTCGGGAGGGGTGTGGATCAGTCTGTTGGGGGACATAGGATCAACTCTCTCCTTGAGACTGTCAGGGAGGAACTTCAGGACCTTCTTGTACCAGTGGACTGACTAGAATACAAAACATGAAACTGACACCTGGTCATTCTGTTATTCAACAACCTTGCGGTTCCAGACTTCGCTTGTCACACAGACATGGTCACGAGGTACATTGTATGAAGCCCATGCCTAGTATAACCTGTCGTGATATTACTTGACTTCACCAACAGCAAGCGTAAAATTTTAATCGCTAATTCATTTTGTTTAGGTTTATTAAAGAGAAAATCTAAAAAGCTGCAAAAAAAAGATGTAATGTTCGAAAAATACCAATGGATTTGACGATTGAACCCATATCAGATATTATTACAACTACTCCGTATTCGTAAATTGACATCTTTCTCTCATAATTATTATCAAAATATTCATATGAAATAATCCACATCTTAATATGATATCATCATCTTCTGTAATGGCGGACATGCATAAGATCGGATAAGTTTGGGTTTTTTGACGTTTAACGCCGCACTCTGCAATATTCCAGCTATATCACGGCGATCTGTAAATAATCGAGCCTGGAACAGACCATCCAGTAACTGACATCACAAGCATCGATCTACGCAATCGGATACGATGTCAGCATCAAGCAAGTCAGCAGGCCTGACCACACGATCCTGTTAGTTGCCTCTTTCGACAAGCATGATGACCAATTGAAACCTGATCTACTTCCCAGTTACAAAAGACTGGACCCGATATTGAGTGGGTATGCCAAAACGTTTTCATCAGACAGGAAACCTCTGTAAAGCGCATGACCAAGATTCTACGTACCTTCTCATACAGAAGGAGAAAGACGTGGACAGACATGTAAATATCCTGGAGTCTTTGCAAATCCTCGGCGAATGGGCTCATGACATCAGTCAGTTGTTGAGTGACGTCACTAATGTCGCAGACGACTTCCGGGTTTTCTTCCGCCAGACGTCGCAGCTTCTGAAGGGTCTCAGTGGCCTGGGTTAAGAGGTCCTAGGGGCAAGTAGGACAAGCATTTGGACATAGATCTCAGACTGGTAAACATATACACACATAGTTCTTCAAGCTGCAAAATTGGGCTTCATATTATCTCGAGATCGAATTTCCAAAGTGGTAAGAAAACAAAACCACAGTCTATTGACGACAGATGCATATACTTATTACGGGCCTTTTCATATATTGCCAAGCAAGTACAAATTAATGCCACCAACCACGTGAACCTCACCATGCTCTCACCTATGTAAATGGAAAGACACACTACGACAAAACGTCTAAAGCAATCTGCTGAAAGTTATTTCTGTGTGGATTCATACAAGCCGACAAAGGATATAATATAAGTCCACATCAATTTCTTCTTTGGACACGACAAAGCACCTTAACAAATGCCTTAAATCATTGGACAGTAAGCAGTAATATGATTTACTACAAAAGTCAAGTTTCCACCTTTGCCGAACTATATGGTGGAATTGTAGAGTTATATTTTGACAGCATAGTCCAGTCATAATCGCGGAACGAAATCGAAAGCGTGTTCATGAAGACCCTATCAGTCGATTGTGGAATCTGTATAGCATGTATACAATCAACTAAGCGTTGACGAATACTTTCAAAATCTTTCCATGTGTTTAGTCATGGTTCTCAAATGAGGTAAGAAGTGCTTCTATTACGATTGAAATCTTGATTTTTCGATCAGATCGTCTTCACCGGGTGCGGCCATTATATTTTAGCCAAATGCTTGTGAACTACAAGGTGGAACCTGAAGAAAAGGGGCATAACTTATAATAGCCATGTGTGGCGCTACCGTCGAGATACGACATTCGAATCCAGTTCAGCAGGGGTAGAAACTTGCATTTTACTGTCCGTTCCCTGGCCATGACATACAGCCAGACAGAGCATTACTGTTTTTCTCTATTTGTTGTACAGGGTACTGTGACACCTTCGGCAAGCGTATGTTGTAGTCAACATATATAATATAAGAAGGAATCCTGACAGTGCTCATTCACCTAAGCGTCACATCAGCAGGCACGACAAAGAATGAATAATTGACGTCATGCAAGTGGGCACAGCAATTACTCAGAAACAACTCACCTTGGCGGGTTCATACAGTGATGTGGTGAAGTGAGTCCTGTAGAGCTCCGCCTGGCTGAGGGTCTTCCCGATGGCTGGATGGTCCTGGAGCTGTGGCTGGTACTTCTTCACGATAGAGTTGTGGATCTGTACAGGAAGGCCGGAATAAGTCACATCGGACATGTGTCATAAAGGTTTATGTCTGTTGCAGAGAGTAGAAGTGAGAGAATGAATTTGGTGGATCTGGACAATATATAAAAGGCCAGTGGGGAAAAAATACCCAGACTTAACTATTCACATCATTCGTCGGGCGTGTTGATAAAACGAATATGATTTGTAGTTGCTGAGTTGGGCAGATCTGAACAGTGGGTAGGCAGACTTGAACATTCCGCATATCACGTGTAGTGAGTGAGTGAATATTAGTTTAATATTCCGTTTCATAATATTTCATTTACATAACAGCTGGGTAGCCTAGCGGTTAAGACGTTCGCTCGTCACTCAAAAGACACGGGTTCAATTCCCCACATGAGTACAATGTGTGAAGCCCATTTCTGGTGTTTCCCGCTGGCATATTGCCAGTTGTCATTTACCACTTTGACGAAACTCGTGGGTTGGAGCGTAATCCTGAAATACTGCTCAAAGCGGGGCTGAAGTCACAATGTCAACCGACTAGCCGTGTAAGTCCCTCTTACCTTCGAAGATCTCTCCCTACACTTCTGGACCTTGTGGGTGACGTCTATCCTGTTTTCTGCTGCTGCCCACAGTTCCGCGAGTTCCTTCTGGTCGTCTGTCAGCAGACGATAACTGTCACGCAAACGAATTTCAGCACTGCATAGCGTGGTCACGTGCACCTGAGCGAGCAGTCCGTGCGACTCGGGGTTCTCCAAGAGGTACAAGGCCTGCTTGCACTGCTCGATTGTGTCCTCAAGGCGTATCTCCCTGTAAAACAATATTTATTTAAAAACTTTCAGATTGCACACTTCATACACATGTCCGATTTAGGATCTCGCCCTTCAGTGAAGATGGCTTTCGGGCACTAATTTGCCAGGTACCGACTTGATAGCGTATGGGCCTATATACTGAGTGTGACGTAAACATTCACTCACTCACTTACTTCAGAATGGATATGTTTGTTTTAACACCGCACCGCTGTTTTCAAGCCATATGGCGATAGCGGATTCATACAAATAAGCAAACAATTGCGTTTGTAAACTTTCACTCACTCACTCTCTTCAGAATGGATATGTTTCTTTTAACACCACACTCAGCTGTTTTCAAGCGTTATGGCGATTCATATAGATAAGGAAACAACTGGCATTGTACAATCCTGAATGGAGATGGTGACATAAGAAACGCGGGCTCGACTGATATTTGTAACATTTGTCGCCTCACTTGAGCATAGCTTGATACTGCTGCAGTTGTTCCTGCCGGAGTCGCAGCAGCTGGTCGGAAGGTTTGTCTGCCAGGTCGTAGTCCTGTAACAGTTCCATCCGGTCCCTCATTGCCGGAAGCTTCAGGAGCAGATCATCGCTGGCCTGCAGGCTTGGCATTATGATCTGAAGGTGAGATTGGACGACATTTGACTCAGTGTATCATAGCCTGATCGCGAGATCGGGCGACAGTATGCTCAGTGTATGCTATTCGGGTAGAGAATAGATAAGATTTATTTCACTGTATCAAGTATAGAGGCGAGAATTAACGATATTTAACAAGGTGTATACGATCTTAAAGGCGTTAACGTCCATGTACCATATTCTGGAGACGAAAATAGACAATAATTATGTCACTCGGCTTAAATAGGCGACATTTAGCAAATCATTATATAGACTGAGGTGGGAATGGATATTTAGGTCTGTGTTTGGTAGTCTGGAAGAATCAATGAACGAATTCTATCTTAGTGGATCACAGTCGAGATTAGCGACATTAATCACGAACAGATCCTAAACCAGAGTTTTTATAATGTGTTTGGGTCTACCCACTGTTATTCGTGTCATATCTGTATATATGTACTTACTATAATATACTACTCAGAGTTTGCTAAGGATAACGTTTTCATGACATTGAAAAATCATCCAACACATGAAGTTTGAATTATCCCAGTACATCATCACTGTACACCTGCTACAGTGAGTGAGTGAGTCTAGTTTTACGACGCACTCAGCAATATTCAAGCTGTATGGCGGCAGTCTGTAAATAATCGAGTCTGGACCTGACAATCCAGTGATCAACAGCATGAGCATCGATCTACGCAATTGGGATACGATGACATGTCAACCAAGTCAGCCAGCCTGACCAACCGATCCCGTTAGTCGCCTCTTACGACAAGCATGGGTTACTGAAGATCAATTCTAACCCGAAATCTGCTACATAAGATTGCGTTGAATGCACTTATGGGTCCTCAGTGTCAAAGACAATTAGTCAGGCACGTTGCATGTTCGAACTTGGTCCGCTCCTCATGTTGCAAACGTCTGTGGTGTCAGCCACAGTGTGATGAGCAGGGCTTGCATCAACAGCTCAGCCACATGTACATGACCACAGATTACCACCACACAGCGGGAAGACATTCCTGACGGTTTCTCTGACTGCACCAAGACATCCTCACTGCCACCAGGCTAAAAATGACCTGCAGAACGCCAGGTTTGGGTTTCTCCGACTCAGACATTGCAGATTAATGAGTTTAGTTTTACGCCTCTTTCACATATCGTGCCCATGTGGGGAATCGTACCCGGGTCTTCGGTGTACAACGAGTGAACGCTTTAACCACTACCCCCACCGCCTCTATTCTCCTTGAGGCTGGTCTCCGGTACTGTAGGGCGGCCACTGACTCCACATTACAGGCAAGCACGTTTGGACTGGACGGAAGTGTCCGTCAGTTGGACAGACCAGGAATGGATTCCATTACTTGTCGATATACTGTCTCGACTTCACAAATCGTCGAGCCCAATCCCAGGATTTCAGGATTCCAGCGTGGCCGAACATGACCGCTCCAGAGGGATCTCAGTTATGTTAAGCAGTGGGAACAACAGAGCTGGAAGAACAGATCTCCATGGCCAACAGCGGGATGGCAGGTGTGGGCTACCTGGATGTGTACATTTGGCCGGATGCTTTTGCAATCTGACGGGATTTTATCCTAATGGATAATAGCGCACAAAGGACATGTATAGGTTTTCAGTTTACTAAACATGTCCAAACACATATTATCTTCGGCTATTTCAACAGATGTACACTATTTGATGCATTGCCTTTTAAAGTGATGATCCTTAGCAGACTTTGAGTGGTATATTATATTTCTCTTATCTAGGTCAAAATCAAATTTTACCCTAACAACCAAATGTTTTCAGAGACTGACCCGAGAACTGTATCTAAAGCACGATAGTATGCGTGTCACGGCTTTAGAACATACAAAATACTATGCAATATCAACATGACCTACGACTCATACGATACTACTGGTAGAGGCCCGGCGTACATATACTCTATATCTACACAGTCACCAGCTGTTGCTTGCATTAGCTTAATCCCCACACACTGGAACAATGGTAAGAAATAGGTCAGCTGTAACACATGCGTATACATGATCACGTGGTATTCATGAATGTAATCTAGATATGAGCCTTCGTGTGTTACTGAAGAGGTTGAGGTACGGGTTCGCTGTGGTCAGCAACATTACAAGGGGCTCCCTTAAAATTGGAATTTTTCGGTAGAAACCTTCTATGTGTCTAAGAATGCTTATCCAAGATAATGTGGGCATGAGCCTAAGACCTTAACATGCGTTAGACCTGAATTGAGCCTCTGATTTTAAAAAACGCTTGTGTGGACATTAGGATTCGCTCAGAAATGAACTCTAAGTGAGAAGTCGACCGGAAATGTGTTTTGTGAGTTGTGGTAATTAACTCAAGACCGGAACTGGGGATTGTATCAATCACTTGACTGTAAATGAACATTTTACGAAATGAGTCGTAACACTCGGCACATATATACTTCTCTTCAAAAGTTTAGACTCACTTAAAACACTCACTATATGTTATGTATTATATATATTATTAAACTGACGAGCAAAAGAAAGTACACAGGTGTAATTGTTGTTGCAATCCCAAATATGCGTTCTAACTAATAAAATTATTGAAAAACATTGATTGTATAGAACGCAACCATCATGTTTTATTTGCCAAAATGCAACCAAAAACATTTGTACGTGTTTTCACGAATTTTTGCAAAATTGTGATTATTGTCCCATGCACCAGCACTTTTCTGACAGAGTATAAAACCTGTTTGTCGTGAAGACTGAACAATCACTTGACAGAAATCTCACGAGGAAATGCCAAGATTGACGTCGGCGCAACGAGAACGGGCCAAAGGAATGACACAAATGGGTGCTTTCAACAACGATATTGCAAGGGCATTGGGTTGCACAAGACAAACCATAATTCGGCTGTTTAACCTTTTCAGTACGACAGGCCAGACATGTGATCGACCCAGAAGTGGACGTTCCAGAGTCACAGCACCCCAAGAGGATCGCTATCTGCGGGTTATTCACCTACGCAACTGGATGTTGACGGTGACGTCATCAGCAGCCACATCATTGGGTAATCACGTAAGCCGATTCACAGTGACAAGACGACTTCGTCCTGCTGGCATGTATGGGCCTACCGACCGCTGCGTGGAATGGCCTTGACCTTCCAGCATCGTAGGAACCGTCTGCAGTGGTCATCACTACATCGCTGTTTATTGTTACAATGTCATTTTGCTGATAAAACAATGTCATTTTGCTTATTGGATAAAACCTGTGTACTTTCTTTTGTCAGTTTATTGCAGATTGATTTCTCCACTAACTTGCTTCAACATACATTTTCCATTTGCTGATCAAATATCGTGCATGTGTTTGTGTTATTTTTGTCTTTTCATTGGAAACTCATGAAAATAATCTTTTCAACGTTACCTACATCAGTTCATGTACTACCTTTAAACTTTATTTTGCAAATGTAGTTTAGAACATCATATTTACACTAGTTTAAACTTTTGAATAAACCCACCTTAAATATAGACACATTAATGAACTTTTTGCTGGGTTTCAGTCCGAGGAGCTTCTTCAATTGTCGTGACCTGTCTTTGGACTTGGGTTTCACACAGTACACGGCAGCAATTCGTCCTCTCTTCCGATGCTAAAACAATAGTCCATATACCTGCAGTTGATGCTACAACAATAGTCCACATACCTGTAGATGGTACTAAAACAATAGTCCACATACCTGTAGATGATGCTACAACAAAAGTCCAGATACTTGTAGATGGTACTAAAACAATAGTCCACATACCTGTAGATGGTACTAAAACAATAGTCCACATACCTGTAGATTGTACTAAAACAATAGTCCACATACCTGTAGATGGTACTAAAACAATAGTCCGCATACCTGTAGATGGTACTAAAACAATAGTTCATATCCATGTAGATGGTACTAAAACAATAGTCCACATACCTGTAGATGATACTAAAACAATAGTCCACATACCTGTAGATGGTACTAAAACAACAGTCGACATACCTGTAGATGATGCTATAACAATAGTCCACATACCTGTAGATGATGGTATAACAATAGTCCACATACCTGTAGATGATGGTATAACAATAGTCCACATACTTGTAGATGATGGTATAACAATAGTCCACATACTTGTAGATGATGGTATAACAATAGTCCACATACCTGTAGATGGTACTAAAACAATAGTCCACATACCTGTAGATGGTACTACAAAAATAGTCCACATACCTGTAGATGATACTAAAACAATAGTCCACATACCTGAAGATGATGCTATAACAATAGTCCACATACCTGTAGATGATGCTATAACAATAGTCCACATACCTGTAGATGGTACTAAAACAATAGTCCATATACCTGCAGTTGATGCTATAACAATAGTCCACATACCTGTAGATGATACTACAAAAATAGTCCACATACTTGTAGATGGTACTAAAACACCAGTTGACATACCTGTAGATGATGCTATAACAATAGTCCACATACCTGTAGATGATGGTAAAACAATAGTCCACATACCTGTAGATGATGCTATAACAATAGTCCACATACCTGCAGATGATGGTATAAGAATAGTCCACATACCTGTAGATGATGCTATAACAATAGTCCACATACCTGTAGATGGTACTTAAACAATAGTCCATATACCTGCAGTTGATGCTATAACAATAGTCCACATACCTGTAGATGATACTACAAAAATAGTCCACATACTTGTAGATGGTACTAAAACACCAGTTGACATACCTGTAGATGATGCTATAACAATAGTCCACATACCTGTAGATGATGGTATAACAATAGTCCACATACCTGTAGATGATGGTATAACAATAGTCCATATACCTGTAGATGATGCTATAACAATAGTCCACATACCTGTAGATGATGGTATAACAATAGTCCACATACTGGAAGATGATGCTACAACAATAGTCCACATACCTGTAGATGATGCTTAAACAATAGTCGACATACCTGTAGGTGGTACTAAAACAATAGTCCACATACCTGTAGATGGTACTAAAACAATAGTCCACATACCTGTAGATGATGCTACAACAATAGTCCATGTACCTGTAGATGATGCTAAAACAATAGTCGACATACCTGTTCTTATCAAGTTCTTATCAAGCAACAAAATAAAGCTCAACCTTTCTTGTAACGGAATGCTCCTGTTTGGGTTCGACATACGGACATATTCATTGGACACAAGATCTTGGACGTTTACCACTTTCGTGAACCGCCGAGCCATATATAGTCCGGGTATAATACTGACAACCCATGAAACGTAATCATTCCGACCTGAAACGATGACAGGTTTCTGTATAGATAAGGGTTGCAACTCTGCACAGCTAATTACGGTGCCTCGGTCAGTTGGATATTACTTGTAGGAAATCCGTCCATTGCCTGTGTGTCGTACAGTGGATATACACAGGGCTGACTGTTCATAAATTTAGCTGAAAAAGGTCATATCCACTGACTGAGTATTCCTACCTCTACTGTCTGTATGGACTCCACAAAATTGGTGACATCTCCTTTAGTGGCGTTGTGCAGATCTATGAGGCAGGCGACTGACGGGGACGTCTGTGACGACACCATGCTGAGGTAATGGAGCAGCAGCGCCACCAGTTCACAGTGTTCCAACTCGCCACACTTAATGCTGACCAGGGGTACGCCGAGGCCATCAGTGCCGCCTGCAACAGGAAGTGAATCGTGAGTGAGTATGGTTTTACGCCACTTTTAGCAATATTACATCAACGTCACGGCGGGGGACACCAGAAATGGGCTTTGTACATTGTACCCATGTGGAGTATCGAACCCGGGCGTGACGAGCGAACGCTTTAACGACTAGGCTACCCCAACGCCCCTTGTAAATCAGTGAGTACGTGAATGGATGAGAGGGTTCGTGTGGGTGTTTGAATGTGGATGAGCCAAGTGACTGTGTGGGCGAATCAGTGAGTAAGTGACTTGTACTTTAAAGCCGCAAATTTTAATCGATTTAAATATTTCTAATACTGTAACATGGTCTACGGCTGTGCAGTTTTCAGACAGCTTATGTTTACAAACAAACCTGTATTACCAGATAGCTTATATGGTGTCTGCTGGTGCGTACTGAAGTACATGCATTATGGACATATGATCAACATTCCACGAGATGATTCTTCAAGTAACTAGCGCTGAGCGACGGCGTCTTACCTGACAAGATGGCGGCACCTCTCTCCAGCAACGTCTCCGGTACCTGAAGTCTAGGTTGTGTCATCGCCTAGTCTGGAAGAGGAAAGTAATGGCGTGACTCATGTAGTTATAGTCCATTCATTAACATCTGTATTGATAGCAGCAGATGCATCGTTCTGGTCACTATCATCCCATTGTGTTCGTGTGGCTCTGCTGTTGTAAGAATGGTTGGTTTGTTGTTAAACGCCGCACAGAATTATTCCAGCTATATGGCGGCGGTCTGTGAATAATCGAGTCTGGACCAGGCAATCCAGTGATCAGCATCATGAGCATCGATCTACGTAATTGGGATACGATGACATATGACAACATAATCAGCGAGCCTGACCACCCGATCCCGTTAGTCGCCTCTTACGATGAGGTGAGGTGAAATTGGGTTTAACGTCGTGCTTGAGAATATTTCGCTCATATGACGACCTGCATGCGTGTGTATGTGTATGTGCGGCTGCTTGTACTAGCCCAGACTGAAGCTGGTTTTATAGTGCTAGCCCACTGAGATACCACGCCGCAGTGAAGCATGAATACCCCACTCAGACACATTAAACTGACTCCGAGCCGACCAGTCCTTGTTGTACCCATTAATGCCGAGCGCCAGGCAGGGACCAACAAGTACCATATTTTAACGTCTTTTGGTATGACGCGGTCGGGGATCGAACCCACGACCTTCCGCTCTCCGGGCGGACGCTCTAACCACTACACCACGGAGGCGGTCTCGCCTCTTACGATAAGCATTGGTTACTTGAACACAAATTCAAACCCAAATCTTCTCGGGTGCATTGTAATAATGAACAGATGCAAGAATATAATGCAAGAAGGTATTTATATTGTTGTTATGTTGTTATACTCCTTTTTGTTGCTCATTGTCATTGTTCCAGAACTAAATATATACTACCCATCAAAAGTTTAGACTCACTTAAAACACTCATTACATGTTATGTATATATATGTGGTTACATCGAAGCTGAATTTCTCCACTAACTTAGGGGAACCAACTGCAAACCTTATGCAGATGAATTGCACGAGGATTATGAGGATTATGCATCAAATTGCAAATATCGTGCATGTGAACAGCTGCGTTTTGGTGTAAAGTTTTGTTAAGAATTGACCAATTTTCACTGAGTTTCATCATTTATTGAACTCAGTACACTAATCTTTTCAACGTTACAAATTTGTTTTACAATACATCAGTTCATGTGTAAACCTTTAAACCGTATATAGAATATTTTGCAAAATCTAGTTTAGATCAGTTGACGGAAATAAGTGGCTACATTTACACTAGTGAGTCTAAACTTTTGATGTGTAGTATTGTTGTTTCTCACTTATATGTGATCAGCTGTAAACTGTTTCTAATGTAACTTCTTTAGATCTGGCGTTTACTTTAGGATACACACTACTCTGGCTCCACCCACATGCAGTCTGATGTATATACATGTACTTAACTAATGACAAAAAGTTTCAAACTAACTCATTCAATTAATCAATCACGCATTCCTCTCTCCTTTAAGTTGATAATTGTATTTATCGAACTGCATAATTTTAAGTTGCTATTCATAGTGTTAATAAGAAAATAAAAATTAACTAAACATTCATGTTTAAGCCTAAGGGTATATGACTTTAAAGCGTGAGAATAAATAGCATTCATCTTATCTCGAAAAGTACATGTTGTGAAAATTCACGACCCACTGCTCCATTTTCTAGGTCGTAAACCGACCTATATTCTGTGACTGATACACGCATTGATCAAATATATTGTATTTATTTCATACCTTTTCCTTTGATTAGAGTAGGTTCAGAAATGCCGGAACAGTATGGTGCGTGCACCAGCCGGTCACAGCGTGACACAAACCATGTGTTTAGTGAACCTCTACTTCATCACAAAACCTCTATATTAGCCTTGCACAAGTCTCCAAGGTAATAGTTTAATAGTTTCAATGATAATTTCTAAAAAAATAGAAATATTCCTCTAACAGACTGGCGTCCTTACTGTTCGTTTCTCTGAACTTGACTCTCTGGAGGATTGAATTACAATACATCCATGGGCTCAGCATTCAGTACAGCAAGGCTACCTGTATATGTGTAGATTTGGTCTCGTCGCTATTTGGCTGAAATAATGCCGATGCAAAGTAAAAATTAGCTCACTCACTCTACATTTTCCGAATTATTTTTTATAAGTGTTTTGATTGTGACTATGGACTCATTTCGTTGATAGGCCCGGTCATTATCCCGTCTACATTGACGGAAGCGTCTACTTTGGGCAAGAAACGTTAGATGCTGACTGCAATTGGGTACGATATCTGTGGTGTTTGGGTTTGTGTACAGAATGTTTGTTAACTAATAATTAATAATCATAGGTGTAGGAACGACCTGGAGTATTGGACGGGGTGGGGGTGTCTTTCAATCCGTGAAAGGGGGCGGAGGGTGTTCAAGGGTTAACGAAAAGTATTAACATACATAGATACTTCGACTGCAGACCTGCTTAAGGTCACACTCATCATTTCTTTGTGGGATGTTTTAGAAAAGTTGTCAAGATGAAGTTCTATGGTTAGTCAACTTCTTGGTTGCAATGAGTGCAACGTTTCGGTGTAGGTACTAACACCGCTATCAAGCAAGTTATCACTATTCATAGAACTTGTTTTTCCCTTTTTCCCTCAGTGTCATTGTCTGGAGGGCGTGTCAACAGACAGGGGACAGTTCTATTAATAGCAACATTCTGAACTTGCTGATAGGCAAGGCATACATGTGCAAAACAGAAAAGTACCCTCCATTTTCAGTAGTTTTCTAGACTCAACTGCATCTCCCCGTAACACATCCTTTCATCTTTTTCTTTTAAGTCAACGGAGAGTGTTTGGATGTATTCCAAGACGATTACAGTACCACTCATACATGCTATCTAATTTATCTAGTAAATATGTAGAGAGTTGATATTTGTTCAGATGTTGAAAGTAACTCCAGTCAAAAGTCCATCCCATCCATTTTTTTAGTTTTCAATAATCCTTTTATGAATTGTGTTATAAGAATTTATTCTCCCTATGTTGGGGACTGAGGATTCATTGCTAAGACATAATAAAAGAGACCAACATAATAAATCATCAACTTCTAAGTTAGTTTGTTTTTGTTTTGTTTTCTGTTTTTCATTGGTTCTCAAGATTACAATGCCATATGTACAAAAGTGAGGTACATAAAGATAGATGGTGTACAGGTATTATTTCTATATCATGTTAATACACATATATAAGTCAATAAAAGAGAAATATGATATCAGGTACATATATAGATACATTTTAAATTCACCAACTTCTAAGTTATATGCAAGGACCAAATGCATGTCAAAGAGCATGTCCAAATCCACTGATCGGAACAATATTATTTCTTACATCATAGTATGTACATAGTACATGTATCATATCAATATGATGATGTCATATTCATATTCTTTTTCATTCAGAACTTTCTTTTTAAAATGATGTTCCAAAAGTTTATGAATCTTTATGTCAGAGAGAGAGAGAGAGAAAGAGAGAGAGAATAACCCATGCTGCCTGTAAGGCACTATAGAAGGTTAATAGTCACATCATCGCATGACCGGGTACCCATTTTCTGCTGGGTGAACAGAGGCAGTTTTGAACGAACTCACTTGCCTAACTCAAAACACCAGGTGTGTAAATTCTTTTGTACATCAGTTATTTATAAAGTAAAAGCTCAAGGTAGGTCATACTCGGGAAGTAAAAACTCCCTACGTATATTCAAAGTCGCTCCCGACTTTAAAATTTAAGCCAAATACTTTGTAAAAGGAGAAAAACCCGTGTGAGAACAACAGGATGAAGTCACGGAAGGTTTATATATAATAGAAGGAAGGAAACTTCACGGAAGTGAACCATTGTGTGTGATCACGAACATATGGTCAGTGCACACTATCAATTCTCTTACGCTGCATTAAAAGCAGATTTATTCATCAGTTTAGATGTTTGTTGTTTAAGGCCGCAGTCAGAACATGGCGGCAGTGTGTAAATAATCGAGCCTGGACCAGACAATCCATGATCATCCTCTGACCTGTAGGGTTTGTTTGTTGTTTAACGCCACACTCAGCAATATTCCAGCTATATGGCGTCGGTCTGTATATAATCGAGCCTGGACCAGACAATCCAGTGATCATCCTCTGACCTGTAGGGTTTGTTTGTTGTTTAACGCCACACTCAGCAATATTCCAGCTATATGGCGTCGGTCTGTATATAATCGAGTCTGGACCAGACAATCCAGTGATCATCCTCTGACCTGTAGGGTTTGTTTGTTGTTTAACGCCACACTCAGCAATATTCCAGCTATATGGCGGCGGTCTGTATATAATTGAGTCTGGACGAGACAGCAGTTGGGATACAACTGAGAGAGGGAAATGCTCTTAAACACATTAAGCCTTCCCCGTCAGTCTGGTTCCCTTCGTGTTTATCATGCAATAATCAACATAACATGTTTACACATGTATATACTGAAGCAAGCAACACGCGTTCCTTTAATATTTTCCAGTTAACCGGTTAATATTAAAGGACCGATTGAATTTTCCTGTGATCCTTCATTTGTTTCTCTCAGTATATTTGATACGGTTACCGAAACTACGGTTTCGAACCTTAGTGTTAGGCTCTTTTCAGCCAAGTAAAGTATTGATATTTGTGTGGTTATATCCAATTTTCAAGTGTATACCTTCCATTCTATCAATCCATCTATAACTATGCTTAAAATGAAACAAACAAAATTGGATATTCAATGGGGATATGTTTGATACAGTTACCGGAATTGCCGTTTCGAACCCAAGTGTTAGGCTGTTTTCAGCCAAGTAAAGTATCCATCCATCTATAACTTAAAACAATAATTAATATTTTGACTTACACTGACATAGTTTGGTACGTTTTCGTTTCAAGACGGTAGAAAGTATGAGTCTAGAAAATATTAAATATTATTATTATTTTCATTTAGCTATTCATATCATGCTTTTCTTGAAAGAAGGAATTAACGCTGTTGCTCTATATGCGTGCTTAAGAAAA